AATAGCAAAAAACCCATAGGAAATGAGATATTTCCAAAAAAAGCGCAAAAAACCGTTTTTTGTGACCTTTGACCTTGAAATTTAATAGTTGCTTACACCCTACCATATGTAGGTTTTGAGACAACTTTTAGGGTGTCAATAAATAAGTATTTACAGACTTACAGCTGGGTATCTCGAATTCCGAGGTGAACTTACTATAATGACTGGACTATAATAGCCCATATTCTGTTCCCTCAAACGCAGTAATGACTCAACCTATTTCAGTCCGCTAGTTTCTTCAGTGACTGAAAGTTGTTACTCAAAGGTCCATCAATATCCCGAGTGCAGCCTGACAGTATATGAGAATACTGATCAGTTCATTTTGTTGAACCCTTATATTGATAATTTTTGCACATCACAAGATTGCATCCACCGGATGCATCGGTGCATCGGTGGATGCAATCTTGCGGGAAGCTGTATTCCCCGTTATACAATATATAAGTGGGTTACAGAAGATGGAATCATGCATAAACTCAGAGTCCTTAGAGGGTGTAGCATAGGCGAAATTTGCTGATAGAAAGCCTTTGAGGTGCTAGAAATAATGTTATGCTGAATTGTTATCATATCTCGAAACTCACGTAACAGATTGCTTCGGATGTCATACTTCCACCTGTTGTCATATTGTTGGCAGTAATAATGTTGTAACTTGGTTTAATCGTAACTTGGTCCATACTTATTCCAAACTTGTAGGCACACATCTGAGCAGCCTGAAAAATAAAGTTTTTCATTATAAATTTTATTGTTCATAGCCCAAGACACCATATCTGCCAGACCTAACTTATTTCAAAAGAGTTATTATTTCAACTATAAATAAAGTAACATGTAGTCAAGAATATATGTGTTCGTGCTAGTTTGAAAAAAAGGGATGGACTTTTAACAGTCATAGATCATTGATATTAAAGGACGACGTTGCCCTGATATAATAATAATAGTAAATGTGTATTGTTTACAACTAATAAGATTCAACAGTTAATGAACAGTATGGACAGAAATATGAATAAGTTGGAAACAAAAGGCGAAGTTCAATTTTTATAACGATAAATTGCTCTTCCACTTAACCTCAAAAAGTCGCTGCGGTGTTATAAGAGCATTATTATAAAATAATCCGTTCTACTGTAATCAAGGTATGGTATGATAAGAATAGGAATAAAATAGATCACTGAGTTTCAAGTAAATATTTCTTAAATCTAATTTGAAATCGCTGAATCCCACTCTTTTTGATTATTTCAGGAATATTATCATAGATTGCGCAAACTGGATAACTGAAACTGCGTCTGAAAAGTTCAAGTCGAAAACTAGGAGGTGTAAATAAACCTTTATTTCTAACATTGAGGTTGTAAATACCTGTCCGATGAGTAATTTTTCTATGCAGATATGTTGGGGTTTTGATCAGTACGACTTTATGGAAGAGTACTGCAGAATGAAGAACTCTTCTATTACTCATATTCAACCAGCCAACAGTTTTAAGTTTGTATGAAATTTTTTGACGTCTCCTTATGCCGTAGATCAACCTCAAACAAGAATTTTGAACTTTTTGACGTTTTGATATGTATATTGACTAGTTAAACATGGACCAAAGAGCACATATGCACATAATATTGTCCTCAACCTCAATGAAAATAAATGTCTCCGACCGTATATAATCCTCAACATGAAATGTGTACGTTGTAAGAGTATATTCACGTGTTTTTCAAATCTGAGATCGGCATCTAGGAGAACTTCCAGACTTTTGCTTCTTGAACAGTTGTGAGAGAAGTTTCATTTATACTAACATCAAAATCATTAAGAACAGTACTGCGATTGATTTTGGAGCCGAAAACAATGACTTCAGATTTACTATTATTAATAATCAGACAGTAGTTTGAGGCTGCCCCTGTGAAAGCTTTGAGATCTTCATTTATTCGACAACAAGCAGTATCAGTCATTTGTGGAGGAAAGCTATAATGAAGTTGGATGTCATCAGCATATAGGTGTATTTTGCAGTACTGAAGACTCTTGACTGAATTCGACGTATATATGGCAAATAGCAGTGGATCCAAAATAGACCCTTGAGGAACACCACAGTTTAATGAAATATATTGGGATTCAACTCCGTCTATGTTGAACGTGTGCGATGCATACGGGCGTACAATTCAACATGGAGCAAGTTGTATGTTGAGACGGTCGTTTTTGAAATACCTTGTGTCTAATGAGCCAATGCAGACAATGTATGCGTGCGTATACGATGTAGCGCGTTGAATTGTGTACCCGTTTGCATCGGATCCTAGAATGTGATAATATTCATTCTATACCAAATCAACTTCATGAATATCAGTTATTTGATGTTTTCCAGAATTCTTTCCTCTATATTCAAACTGAAGCTGCATGATATGGAGACCGAAAACGCTCTCATCTAAAATTGCATCCATCAATATCATCCATCCGTATCAAACAACTCGAAGATTCCGTACTGACATGATTTCATGAACGGCGGGGTTGGTTGTCTTTGTTCATTTGTCTCAATACTTGAACTACTGATTGCTGTTTTCTGCAGCAGTATGTTAGCTCAGATTATGTGGTGGTGAGCAAATTCCGGCATCAAATGATGTGATGGACCTCCTTCCCCAAACTCGGACCTTTTGTGCACACTAAAGCAATGAGTCTACAAAGGAGATGGATGTCGACTAAATGACCACAACTCATGTCTCTGTGACATTGGATCAAGAGCGAGGGATTCTCAGTTTTCCGACTCCTGTTCATGTTAAAAATCCTAGGTGGTGCAGCCAAGAATCATCTCAATCGCCTCCTCGAGACCTTAGGAATGCACCACGAGAGAACCCTAACCAGGGAGGTTAGGAAAAGCTGAAGCTCAAACCAAAGGCACAAATGTCCTTTATGGCTGGATCTAATGTATCGTTAGGTGTAGATGGGAAGGTTGTTATGGTCATCAAAGTGGAAATCTTGCACCTTAAACATCCGATGAACACAATTCAGCATGCCATTATGGTTGCCGTAGAGGATATCCAAAAAGATGGTCCATAGGGGCAATTTCAAGGCTGCATCATTTAGATTACGAGAGCGTCATTTGGCTGGTGGTGTTGCTCATGCAACATGGACTATACAACTGTGTCGCTCACGTATCTAAGATAGCCGCAGACTGATCTTCGATTCAGGAAAATTAACCACACTGATGATGTCTGTCGCAGTAGCAGACGAAACGTTTGGTACTTCAAGTTTCATTTGACTACGGCCCACCAGCCCTAATTTTCTCTTTATTCAGCTTGTTGTTTTCCTATTATATAATAATTAGGAATAAAAATTAACGATGCTACTTGGTTAGCGAAACTTGCGTCAAGAGACAATATATTTGTTTTGGTGTGGCAAAAGTGTTTTCTTTAGATTGTCATTTCTGTTTATACTTTTTTTGAATACGAGTTTCACAATGCGAATCAACATTATTAATGAATGAATTAATAGAATTGATGAGACCTCTTAGCGTTTACAACCAATAAAGACGTACTCACTCAATTCAACAATTTTAAAGATTCACTATACAACACCTGGGCTGAAAAGTCCCGGATCTTAGCCAGAGCGAGAGAAATTTCTTACCAGTGAAGATTTTTTGATGTTTGCGAACAGCCAGTAGTCGCTGGGAGTCAAATCTGGTGAATATGGTACATGCGGGAGCAATTCTAAGCCTATTCCATGCAATTTTGCCATCGTTTTCATTTATTTGTGACGCTTTGTATTTTCTTGATGAAGGAGCACTTACTTTTTCTTCAAATGGGGTCGTTTTTTCGCAATTTCGGCCTTCAAACGCTCTAATAACGCTATATAATATTCACTGTTGATGGTATTTCCTTCTCAACATTGTCGATGAATGAATTTTGTCAATCACCTTCAAACAAACATTGTCGATGAATATTACACCACGCCCATACCAAAATACCGAGGCCATAACTTTGCAGTCGATTGTTGTGCTTTCGATCGCTTTGGACGAGGTTCACCAGTTACTTTCCACTCAGATGACGATCGTTTTGATTCCAGAGTGAAGTGATGGATCCGTGTTTCGTCCATTGTTACATATCGATGCAAAAAATACGGTTTGTTATGTTTAAACATAGTCAAACAAGGCTCAGAGTCATCAAGACGTTCTTGTTTTTGGTCAACAGTGAGCTCGAGCGACACCCACTTTGCACAGAGCTTTCTCAGTCAAATACTTATGCAATATAAAACCAACACGTTCTCTTGTCAGTTACACGCAACTTCACTTTCCGATCATTCAAAACGATTTTGTGTATCTTTGTATGTTTTCTGATGTTACTGCCTCATTTGGACGTTCACTTCCTTCTGCGTCATCGGTGTCTCTACAACCACGCTTCAAGTCAGCAAACCAACGTTTAAATGTTGTTTCTGATGAAGCAGAGTCCTTATAATACTTTTCGAGCCATTGCTGTGCTTGAATGGCATTTTTGCCCATCAAGAACAGTGTAAAATTAAAACAGGAAATTGTTTTTGATCCATTGTTTTGAAAATAACAAAAGTAGTGTCACTCTTAGCACAATAACTCACAAACTTATGAGTAGAATATCATGAAATTTCAATAGCTAGCGCCATCTATGTGTTAGTCCCGAGAATTTTCAGCCCATGTACTACGTAAGGGTGTTCCAGGAATACAGTAAATAATGAATGTATGATTAAATAACTGTAAAATAGAAAAATCTCAATACATTTTTTAGATGCAGTACTCATTCAACACGTTTTGGAAATATATGTTACTTCAGAAAAGTCTGAGTAAATAATGATTATGACTATGTAATTATAGATTTCATAGAATAATAAATGTGAAATACCTTGGTATTTATACCCTGTCCAATTTCGATTCCTCCATGACACACTGCTACTCCCCCATCTCCATGAAAAACAGAAACAAGGACGCTATATTGACCCAAAACATCAAATGGCCATACCATCGGAACCAAAGACATTCCCCTTTTTTTCCATCGATTTGCCTAAAATATAAGTAGAATATAAATACGTAATCATCAATAATAAATCAAAATGAGTCTGAAGACTATATCGAGGTTCTCAATTGCCTGACGGAAAACAAATATTTCTCCGGCTAAAAAAAAAAGATGGTACGAGATATATCTTGCATTAATGTTGTCGGATATAATTCAAATGGCTGCTGTGGGATAAGCCGAGAATACTTATGTTCCGGCCGGCATTTACCAGAAACTACTGTGTAGGTACGTTGGGAGAGATGAATGTTTCTAGGTTAAATTCCGAAATATTTATTTTCTTATAAATGATAAATATTCATCAATGATCTTACGTCATTATAGCTTTTTATTGCTTTTTTTCTATTTTCAATATCGGCCCAAGTGTTCATATCATTCCAGTATGTCAAAATTTTGGAGTATTTTGATTGGTCAGTATTTGCCAATTTAACAACCGTTGGATCCAAATTGAGTTCACGTGCTATATGTTCCATAATACTTTCGATAGCCCCCAAACCTTCCAGTGTCCCTACAATTTCAAAACATTGATTAGTACAGATTGGTTTACATTTGGGTGGTTGTTTTCCAAGTTTTCTTTTCCAACTTGTCCTAAAAACCCTTTTGTATAAAATTTAAACGACGGGAGGTTGTTTTTTATATATCCACAAAAATACATCCGTACATCTATACGTAGGTATACATCTATATATAATTTCAGATCGAGTGAAGTGTCTGAATAGTGGGAAGTCATCTTCAGTTCAATCAAGTTGGCGCCTAGCTCCCTTACCCTGGCAGCTGATTTTTGTCAGAAGGACAAATGGGTTCATGACTAAGAGGTGGTGGCGTTATGAAAGTCCTTACACCGCCCTTCAGGGTGTACCCCTAACTGGATGGGGTGGGTTGGATGAAAAATTGTTCACCCATTAACGGAGGACAGGAGGGCCTCATTCGACAGAGTGTCGGGGCCTTCTATATCGGGAGGGGTCGTCTACAGTATAATCAATAGCTTCACTAACTAATGGGTTTTCGTGAGTTTCTGCACAATCAAAAACTCGCCGATTCCTCGACTGAATGGACTACTTGATGGAAGACAGCTGCAAATCTCTGCGGATGGCTTCGTTCCTCACGAACCACGGAGCATTCACAATCATCCGTATTAGCTTATTTTGTAATCTCTTCAGAATTGAAATGTTAGATGGAGCCGCTTGTCCCCAGACGCCTGAAGCATACATGATGACAGGCTTCAAAATCGTATTGTAGATGGTAATTTTGTTTTTAAGACTCATTTTAGATCTTCTGTTGATCAGAGGGTACCTACAGACTAGCTATCCGACCCTCGATCCTTGATTTAACGTATATAATGTGTGGGTTCCAGGTGAGCCTACGGTCTCTTAGAACACCGAAGTACTTTATCCGCGCTTGCCAGTCGATTTCCCTTCCAGAGATCCTCACTTTTCTGGCCCGAGAAGATATCGTTCTTCCCATTATTATCGCCTGAGTCTTTTCCGGGTTGACTCGGATCTTCCATTCGAGGTACCAGCGCTCGAGGTCGTCCAATGCACGTTGCATGTAGACGATCCCGAACTCCTAACCCATGGAAGATGAGAGGAGAGCCGTGTCATCGGCGTAGAGGGATATCTTCACATGCTCAGACCTCGGGAGATCACTGGTGTAAAGAGAGTACACCGACCAAGCGTCTTCATTTCTTTCAGGTTGGAGCCTGGCTTCCTTACTCTTTCAACTGATAAGAGGGTACAGAGTAGAAGAACAAAATTAATACCAATTACCTGCAGTTCATTAAGTAAAATGTACCACTGCGCCACCTGCTGGCGAAGTACGGAAGCAACTACACCATCACATACTCCGGGGTGGGAGTCAAAATAATAAACATATTCCGGAAAGGTGCACATGAAATTCTCAAGTTTTGTTGAAAGTATCAAACCCTTCATATGAGACCTACGATTTTTTGGGTACGTATGGCAGACACCCGACAGAAAAAAAATTTATTTGTTTGAGATATTTAGACGGTTCACTCCGTCTGAAATGACCCACCCGGCACTGAAGAGGATCTAGTACTGCAAAACTGGTCTGTCGGTGGCCATCTCGACCAAATGAAATTCATTTCAGCTTTTCATACATGAGAGGTTACTTGTGATGAATCTTCCAAATGGAAGACGTTGCACGGAGAAAAAGTGTATTTGTAGTAAGTTGGTAGTCTTGATCACGAATCTGAAGGAATTTTGAGCCTATTTTGCCCCCTAGTATGTTTCATGGTAAAAATGGGTTGTTCCATCGCGAGTGGTAGCACTTTGGCCAACCCCATCCAGGTGGTAGGTGCACTTTTTAGCATTTCCATCAGTCCTGAGAGTTTCATCATTTTACCTCGATTATTAGGGAAGATACGGAGATGTTTCCACGAGAAGTGAGACACACTGTATATATAAAGTGGATTTTTCAGCGACTGAAGGAATGTATAGTAAAATGCATTAACGGGGTCTCTCAAAAATCAAAACTCTGCTCTACTTTGGCCAAGCTTTCGCTTCTAATGGGAAGCTCCTTCAGTGCATATAATATATTGGGTTGTGGAATTTTTCGCCGTTGAATAACATTACAAATTATACTTACAGTAAAAATGAGTGGAAAACAATGAATTGAACATATAAATTGATGAAAAGTTAAACATGTATAGGATTTTTTTTGGTTTGACAAATGAGAAACCTCATTAATTAATTTTACTGTATATATATACATAAGTGCATTCCATTTGAAACACGAGCCACTCTGAATAACTTTTGGTACAATGATTTTTAAGAAAAATAAAAAAACACGTCAATAATAGTATACAGGGGGACACATTTTGACATATTCACATTTGATGTTACTTCCCCTATCGCACCCCCAGAGCATGTCACCAATTTTTTTTTAATGGATCACCCTATACTGTTTCGCATCATCAGATGCTCCTTCATGAGCAGATTTCAACAAAGTATAAAACATATGGTCTGAATCTTATAGTTCGGGAGCTACAAATTATTTGAGTTGAAAACGAGTCACCTTAAATAACTATTGAAAAAATGACTTGCAGAAAAAATAGAAAAACAGGTCAACAATTATACAGGAGGCCACATTTTGAACATTTCGTTCTAGAGACAAATATGGTAGCAATCAGAAAAAAAAATTTATTGATTCTTGAATCAAAATCTGATGACTGGACAATGAGAAGAAAAAAATTCTATAGTAAATGTTCAAAAACGTTTGCACGGACTTTCATACAATGGTACAAACGAGCTTTTGCCGCCCTCCTATGGTTGAGAATATCGGGAGTTATTTCTCTGCAATGCCTCATGATATTCTCCCTCAAATGTTCTAATGTTGTTGATTCTATCCCATACACTTTAGACTTCAAATTACCGCATAGAAAGAAATCTACAGGAGTGAGATCCGGAGACCTTGGTTGCCATTCAAAAACGTTTGCACGAACTTTCATACAATGGTACAAACGAGCTTTTGCCGCCCTCCCATGGTTGAGAATATCGGGAGTTATTTCTCTGCAATGCCTCATGATATTCTCCCTCAAATGTTCTTATGTTGTTGATTCTATCTCATACACTTTAGACTTCAAATTACCCCATAGAAAGAAATCTACAGGAGTGAGATCCGGAGACCTTGGTGGCCATTCTGTAGGGCCTTTTCTACTAATCTAGCGATCAGGAAAATGATCCAAAAATAGTCCTGCTGAAAAACTATTTCGTTTTCGAATAAATTCATATCCTCCTCAATTACCCTATTGATGTACGGTATTACGAGTCTCCAACATATCCAAATATTTATCACTAGTCAAATTTTCATCGATAGAAAAAGATCCTGTTGTCTCTTATATCATTGGTTTTTAGTTAAATGTCATATTATAGAAATAATAAAGGTTTATGAAAACGGCAAATGTCCTAGAACCAAATTACTCACCAGGGGCTCTGGCCCAAGTCGTACCCGCATTATCCGTTTTGACAGAGTATGTAGAGAATTCCCATCGGTCTATATTATAACAGTTTTCGAATAAATTATTAATCCACTCAAATATAATTTCGTTTCCTCCTATACCAACGTCGGAATACATATCTGAGGTCAAGTATTGGATAACGCCATTATCATTCACTCCCACTTCATATTTTGCATAGAGGGGTATTCTTCCTCCTATAATATCCATGTTCTTTTCTAGAGGAAGCGACATTTTTACTGGTGCATTGAGCTTGACTGCTGCTAGAGCGGCTGCTGTCGAAAGTAAAGCGTTTTTCATTATTTTTGCTCCGAAAGCTCCACCAAGACGACGAACGTGAACGTTTATCCTGCAACACAATAGCAATACTATTAGTGCTTTTTTATTACAACTCGATGATCAACTTTTGGGAAAGAAAGTTTTTGGCTTTCTACTACTCTATCTTGATACAAAAAAAAGGATGAGGAAATCTTCCAAAGAAAGGAAGGAAGTAATCAATTTAAAAATAATAACTCTATACATGGTGGTGTAGATCACGCAAAGGAGTAACTTTCAGACCCAAACCAGAAGCGATTTTTATTTACGGTGCAACGCGTAACTTTCACGAGACCGAAAGGATCTTCAATGATCGTTTTCCGAATCGTCCTATCTGTGGAAAATATTTGAGGATACTTGTATCCAAATTCACAACTATCGGTAGTAGGTACATAACAAAAAGCCCCCAAGTCATCGGTCCATTTCGGAAGAACAGCAAGTACAAATAATTTGTGAGATGGTAGTGAATCCTGAATAGTCAACTTATTCCGTCGCGAATGTTTGTGAGGTGTCTCCTTCTACTGTGTGGAGACTTTGAAGAGGAATAGGTATCATCCATAGAAAATTAAAATGATACACCAATTAACTGAAGATGACCCTGATCGAGGAACAGAATTCTGCGAAATCATGATGGATTGCAAGGCATCCTACCCATCTCCATAATATTTGTTTCAGTGACGAATGTACATTTTTTTCAAACGGCAATGTTCACAGACAAAATTTCCTCACGTTGTTCGGGAAACACATACCCAATATCCAGGAAAAATTAGCGTTTGGGCAGGAATATTGGGAAACCATATTGTAGGACCTCTATTTATTTATCAAAATTTAACAGGGGAACTGTATTTGAATATGCTGGAAACTACTGTTGACTCTCTCATCACTGAAATCGTCAAAGCGAATCCTGATGAATTCGATATAGATATTGTATTCCAACAAGATGGAGCACCACCACATTACTCCCGAAAGTAAGAAACTATTTGGATACTACTTTTCCCGGTCATTGGATTGGCCGTCGAGGTCCTACAGAATGACCAGCCCGCTCGCCAGATTTGAAACCTTTGGACTTTTTATGGGGCTATTTGGTGCCCAGTCGCCATCTTGAAAGTTTCATCTGTCAATTTCACATGGAAATAAAGTATTCATGCATCAATTTCATTATCCCAAATTTCAATTTTCTGAGTTGACCCATTCAAAAAATAAAAGGGAGGGGGACATCAAAGGAATGCACTGTATATTTAACGAATTTTAGATTCTATCTGAATGACCAGCCCACATTTGTGGTATTATTCATTGTCACAAAAACCAATACAGGGTGTTTCAAATTCGATCCTCACCATTGGGATCACTATGAGAGATACAAAGATGGTTGAATTGGGGCAAAGTTGCGCATTTACCTGACTAGCAATATGCCGTTGAGAAAGTTCTGAAATTCCGAGTATATCTGGAGATATCCGAAAAAACCGGAAATTTCGGAAAATGGTTTTTATTTTTTTCTGGCTTTATTTTTCAAGGATTCGAAAATAAATTGCATTTCCACATTGTCACTTTTTCCCTGCTACATAATGGTGTTTTCAGATTTGCTATCCTATGTTTCGTCTTTCGATACCATAAACTGTATTTTTTCTCATGGGCGCTACATTGGATTCTTTCTGTTTTGAATGGAACCAGATTTTACCTTTTCAATAATGTATCATACGTTATCATTCTTTTTCAAAAAATTGGAGATGGAAAACATTTATTCTTATCCTAATAGGCTTTGACTTTGATGTTTTTAAATTTGACTTTCAATTTGTTACACTCAATGAAATTTTGTTATTGCACAAGTCATTAATTTTTTGTCAAAAAATGGCTTTGACGAATGAAGAAAAAAGATTTATGATACCAATTTATTACAAATACGATGGAAACAGTGTTAGGATATCGGAAATGTATTTACAATTGTATCCCGAAAGACGACAACCACATCGAACTATGTTCAAGTTATTGGATCAAAATCTCACCGAGTTTTGTTCGTTTGAAAAGCCAATGAAAAAATACGGAGACAGAATCAACAATCAAAATTTGATAAATGAGGTGTGGAGGAGGTAAATTAGATACTGTATCCTTTTCAATGAAAATAGAACTTTGAACAAATAACAATAATTAACTAAAATGTAAAGACAAAAATAAATCACAGCAAATGCTAAAATGCTGGCCTTGTTCATGATAACACAACTGTGCCCTCCTCCTAAATTTTCCGAACTCTCTTACAATGCTGTGTTGAAGGTCCTCAATATTTTGATATTCCCTCTGACCATAAACTCTAGTATTCAGTGTACCCCTTAAGAATTTATCCATAATATTGAAGTCTGGAGACATTGCTGGCCACCTCACCAGCCCATTACTCCACATACATTTATCACCAAACCTTTCAGACAGGTAATCAGATACTCGTCTAGTAGTGTGCGATGGAGCACCATCATGTTGAAATCAGATGTTGTTATAGTTAACCAAAGGCAGATCATCCAAATAGTCTTTGAAAATCGACATTAAAAACTGCTGATAGGTTCGATAGACAGTTTTTCTATTAAGGTCCATGCCATTCGCCTAACACCAAAGAGCTTATTTGGTTTAGGTTTTTTGTAGAAATCAGTTTCAGATTTGATAACGCGGTAAAAAAGGCAACAGCCCACAATGACTTCCCTGAGGAACTCCTAAATATACAGTCACAGCATTTGATAGGAAATTGTTGATTTTCACCTGTTTGTCAGAAAACTTTCTATCCAATAGATATCCATCGACGGCTACTTGCAGGGAACGTTCTTTCAGAAAGCTGGCGAACCATACACAGATATTTGAGGATAGGTTTACGACTTTCTCCATGATTTCTGATATCACTGATAGCAAAGCGACGATTTTATTTGCCTTTTTTGTGAATAGGCTGAACGCGAGCAATCTTCCAACTAGACAGAAAACCCCTTTCTTATAAGATAGGTTGAAAAGTCTGCAAAATACTGGTGCGAGTTCATTTGCGCCCAAGGCTAAACGCAACTAGGACAGACGCCTTGTTGATATTGAGCTGTTTCAAAATTCGCCTGACTAGAGTATGTCTGGCCAGTTTCAAATCATGTTGAACCTTGCAAATGCAAATTAAACTGTTTTTAAAAACTCAAACTTATGTATGAACTCTGTAATGTATACCCATACTCCATAGTACTCCATAGTTTTTGAAAGGACGTTTCTGACTTGATACGAATATGGAAAATAATATAAGACATTTCATTTGAAACAAAATTGAAAAATTCAACTATGAAACGTCATGTTTCTACTCGATATCCAATAAAAAAGGTCAAACGATATATGAGACATTGATACAAAACATAACACCTTCTGATTAATGCACTACTTCACTTCAAACTTCTATTGGAAGCTCAACCTGACACACAATATATTTCTTATGATTGTTTATGATGTTTTAGTAACCTAATTTTATATTTTGAGAAATGAAACTGGTGGATAGAGGGTCAGCCTCTCTCTACCACTTTCATCCTCCAAAATTGTTTATAATGACTGAAATGATAATTTATGATATATATTTACTTGTTCATAGGAATTTTCACAGCTTCCATAATGGCAACTTGGCAGAAATCCATCCATTGGGTTGCAGGGTAAACATCTAAGCCGTCTTCAGTAGGTATCACACTGCAACACTGAAGTTCCATATGGAAATGATATTGTGATCCGATGTAAAATTCTCCCTTGATCACTTTCTTCACATCATCCCCTGATCAGTTGAAAATATATAATTAACAAAGATAAATAATCAACAATTTATATGGTAGGTCAGCTAGAACATTTTTGACAAGAAGCATGTTTCTGAAACTTCAGGAATTGAGGAGTGAGGAGTTGAGCAATATGAATGCAACTAAAAAATCAAATTATGTTTTACATTAAGCTCTCACTCAACTGTACAAATTTCTTGGGGGTCGATGAAAATTATCAGCTATGAAATATTAATTGTTTGGAATGATTAATCTTCGTAACTCTTTTCTAGTCAGAGTAAACAACTCTCGCGCCCAATGATCACCCACTTCACGTCCGTGGTCATCGCGACAATTTCACGGAGTAATCGTGGAAAAAGTTGCTTCATGTATTCTTCTGGAGAACGTATAATAATATTTTTTTTGCTAAAACTCTTAGGAACATCCTCCGATAGTAGAACCAGATACGCGAAAATACCTACTATCATTATTATTTGTCGTGGTGTGCTGGAACAATTAATTATACAGTGCGTACGTAAATAGACCTCTTCTCTTAGCTTTTGAACGGGACAATTAAAGTATTACAAACTTTGTATGGAAAAAAATCATTTTTAATACTTTTTGATAAAAAAGTTATGTGTGTGATATTGCTCGTCGCAGAAATGGCGCTATCAACTTTTTTAAAGGTTTTTTTACTAGTTCGGGCTTCTATTGTTCAACAAAAATGAATAGCACATGTAATAATACTCTCACCTGTGCAGTTTCAGAGGCGAATTTGTAACCGTCTTTTCGATGTTATCCCTTCATCGATTTGGCATCTCTTGTTCTCAAAATGTTCACCAAAGCTTTGTCAATAAGAGCTTTTCTTTGGACAATAAAGCATATTTATTATTATTATTAAAGTTCATCACGTCTCTTCTCATTTTTATTTGTTTCGGTACAGTTAATGTTTTGACTTGAATCATAAATGGAGGTTGTACTGATACTGATAATTTTGAACTTCCTGATAGTAAGACGATCAAATTCGAAATAGGGTGGAGTAATATCATGAGGATCTTCACTTCGAGTAACATTTTCATTTGCTTCATACAGGGTCTTTAAAAATGCAGATACTTTTGTCACATGAAAGTGGAAGTGAATTTTTCAAAAGAAACACCCTGTATATTTCCACAGTTTTGAGCTCTACATCCAATTTTAGATTGACTTTGTTCAGATAATCATATTTCGATTTCGAACTGTTTTCAAAATAAACTGTTTCAAACAGAAACTGACATGATTTTCTTTGTATCACTTATTTTCGTAATTCAACAGATTTGGTTCATCAGTCACAAATAATACAATTGATTCTCTATACAGACTTGTATAGAGAAGCATTTGGAAATACATGAAAAAACCTCAACACTATTATATGCCATTGTCATCATCATCCACTCTAGACTTTCTACGAATGATTTTTTGGCGAAAGGTTCCATTCAACCTACAGTTTTTTAGTAGTCGATTTAATCCAGTATAGATCGGCTTCGGGAGTTGTAGATGTCTCTCATTAAATACTTGGTATGTTCTATTTGCAAATATATTGCACCCAAAAATTATTAATAAATTAAAAAAATATTTATTACTGTAACTAAGTCTTGACATTATTCCATTATAATTAATATCATAGTCAGTCAAAACCAATGACGAAATTTTGACGTTTCAAAATTGGATCATTTATTTTTCCAAAGCACACAAATGAAAAATTTTAATTTGCAATGTTGTACGGTAGAAACACTCAATACCTCAATGCATACAATTTCAAATTGACTGATTTTAGACTTTTCAAAATTGGATCATTTATTTTTCCAAAGCACACAAATGAAAAATTTTGATTTGCAATGTTGTACGGTAGAAACACTCAATACCTCAATGCATACAATTTCAAATTGACTGATTTTAGACTGTTGAAAAACTAAATCGAAAAGAAATATTAACGTAATATAAAATAGATGTTACTTAAATTTCAAAAATACATGATGAATACAAGGAAACCACGCCAGTTTCTGTTTGAAACAGTTCATTTCAAAAACAGTTCGAAATCGAGGAAGGATTAACCAAACAAAGTCAATCCAAAATTGGATGTAGAGCTTGAAAATGTGGAAATATACAGGGTGTTCCATTTGGAAAAATTACATTTTTTCATGTGCATTTTTTGAAGACCCTGTATGCAGGGTGATATGAAGTGATATGAAGATTTTCACGGTACCACTCGACTCAATTTCGAATTTGATCGTCTCAGTACCAGAGAGTTCAAGATTATCAGCGTTTATAAAAAAAGTACATGTTTGGCAAAAAGAANGAGTGATTATGTGAATTGTGCAGCGTCTTATATGTGGTACATTCCAGTGCAATTATTGTGTAGACTGCATGAAATCAACCAACTAGGTTACAAATATATCAGCATAAAGAAAGTGGCACCAGTGCGCTCGGCAAATAGGTAATAAAACCTTGGTTGATAGGAAAAGTACAATTTTTCATTTATCACCCTCCACAGTAATTGAGTGAGGTTAAGTGATCATGTACCTGTAGGGATTTTTGATTTTTGTCAAAACTTTTGTTTTCTTACGGCAAACCTTCTGGCTCAATATGGAAAAATGACAATAACTATTTCATCATTTAGAAGTTTGAAAAATAGATCTTGAATTATCATTAGAATTTTGTCCTTGCCACAATCCCCCTTTCGAACCCCAATATATTTGAAGAATGTGCTACCGACCCCTTTTTGCACCAGGCAGTAAGTTTTCATTGGATCCGAGAATATGTACTCTGAGTAGAAGTTACGACACAAGAATGAGACTTTTCTGTATTTATCTGTATTATTCCACCAAAGAATCGTACTAGGCATAGCGCGTTGAAAGATAAAACCTACTTAAGTGATAATGAGATAAAGCCTGGTAATGCCAGAATGTCAGATCATTTCCAAATACTAATACTAATAATGACTTACCTTTGCTTTTTGGTAAAAATGTGGTTTTATGAGAAATCCTATCCATGATATTATCATTAACAACGTCTTTCACATTGAGGAATGGACTGATCTGGGGTGGGCTACAGTTCACTTTTACCAATCCTGCAGCTTTCCAAGCAAGATTATTGTCATTCGCAACGATTATTCCAACGGGTTGGTGATAATATTGAACTGTTCCACTACAAAAAAGTTCTTCTTGGACAGGATTTATCTTCTCGCCCATTGATTTGGGTTCGTAAGTATTGTTACCAGGAATGTCGGATTTATCGTAGAAGGCAATTACTCCGTTCAATTTCTATAGCAAAAGAAGTATTTCTCAGGTTATGGCCAACAGGTTTGACAATACTCAATAAATTATAGTGAACTATTTCACTCAATAATAATAACAGTATGTACTGAAACCAATGGGTATGACAACGTTCACACGAGCATATAACATCTATTGTAATAACAATCAAGTTCTAACATCCACTCTCCCGGAAATATTTACATGGATCAAGCATAACAACAACATATTTTAAGCTTCCGGGTTGGCTGTCCTTGTTCATCTTTCACTGCCTTAACCACTGTGCATGCTGTTTTTGGCGAGTGCATTGGATTGGTATGTGGGGGCTGAGCAAACTGGCCATCGGATGCCTGCTTCCACGTAGCCCCGCTGGATACGGGAATTACAGAATCAATTAAAAATTCTTTCTGACGCCGAGTCTATAGAGGAGATGGATGTCGAATTTACGACTCCAACTGACCTCCCTGTAAATTTAGATCAGGAGCGAGTCTACAGAGGAGATGGATGTCGAATTTACGACTCCAACTGACCTCCCTGTAAATTTAGATCAGGAGCTAGTCTACAGAGGAAACGGATGTCGAGTTTACGACTCCAACTGACCTTCCTGTAAATTAAGATCAGGAGCAGGAGCTTCTCAACTATCTAACTCCTGATCCAATAACTGAACCTGAAAAAAAGGTTTGGTGGTGCAGTCAGAAAACGATTGAGTCATCTCCTCAAGAGCGGGGAACCTTATGAAACCGCCTTACACCAAATTCTTGAGCGGCGTACGCAGAATCTGTCACAGGTGGAGGAACAAACCTAACATGAGCAGGTTAGCAAACGTTTGCGCTCAAGTGATGATTCACCAAAACCAGAGGCGAAAAAGCCCTGCACGGTTGAATCTATGGCATCGTCAGGTGTAGCTGACGTGCAAAAACCCTCATACGGGAAGGTTGTCGTGGGTATCAAGGTGGGAATCTTTCAACTTGACTAGCCGACTACCTCATTAACAGCAGAGCATATACCTTGTACCTGCCCCGCTGGGGACCAAATCAGGTTTTTAGAGTTCGGCAGAGCCGTGCTCTTACCATCTGACCTAAAAGACCACTCACCATACAAACTAATCGGCTTCGTTAAGAAGCTGGGCTCATTTGGTCGAGTGTGAATAGGTGTGAGCCATAATGAATCCTTGCGGGTTGCTGTGGACAGTCGAATAGACTCACTCACTTTGGCCTTAACCTATCCTATATAAAGCTTGTCCCTGACTACTATCTTTGGCGACATAACATAGTTGATCAATTGTTTGTCAATGAATAAGTAAAAAAAAATATGTTAAACGGTTTTATTGAAGAATGTACTCAAAACTAAAAAAAAATAAAATCGAAAGGTCCTAGTTAGCGGTCATCACACCACTCTCCTCAGCAATCTACGGAATTGATCAGATAAAAAAATAATCAGATCGTTGGGCGTAACCTGAGTAAATATGTAAATACTAAGCCCAACGATTTTTTTTTCATCTGATCAATATCGTAGATTGCTGAGGAGATAGGTGTGATGACTGCCACCTAGGACCTTCCGAGTTATTTTATAGTTTTCAGTACATTTTTCAATAAAATCGGTTTACATAATTGTTTTCACTTATTTCATTTTCAAGTTTTTAGTTTCTAATTTTCATCCACCCTACTGCCACATAGTCCTCGACACGATACAGAATCTTGGCTCGAGTGGGATATCCATGCTTGTATCCGGATTCTGAGTTGACGAAGTTCTTTGAATAGGATTATATTGAATTTGCATTATTTTCATAGTGTACCACTATAGTACTAGTCAAGCCCTGTCATTTGATACCCATATTGAGATAGTTGTGAAAAAATTTGTAATCCGCCATTTTGTAGCTGCGGCCATCTTGGATTCACAATGACACATACTATATTAAATTGTATTGTCATCGAAACTGAATGTATGTACCAAATTTCAGATCAATATGTCAACAGGAAGGCGGGTCAAACTTCAATTACTGAATTTGACCCAAATAAATAACAAACAGGGCAGGTTGATCTTCTTCTTGAAGATGATCACTTGGTGATCGAAACACGTGTCGAGGTGTTAAAATAAGAGTTTGGAATTGGGAAAAAACTCCAGTAATATTCATTACTACACCATAGGTTCCAAACAGTGCATCAAGGGCAAGCTAAACAAAACCGTTTAAAAAGTTGAAGTATTTTTCTCATATTTCGACATTTGTGTCAATGATGTCATACATCGAAGAAGGTTTGATGAATATATAGTCTGTCCATCTAAGCAACAGAGTGCTCTAAAACATTATCATGTATAGTGCACGTGATTTCCCAGACAAGGCTACTTGTACAGAGTCGCACTAAGGAACGACCGAAATTTTATTTATGCGGCTGGATATAGGAAATTTTTTTAGGTGGAGTGTAGGGACACAAATTGGCAGTTTCTTCAGTCGTATCAGTACTTGACATTTTAAAAATTTTAAATTTCTACCATAAATACCGTATATGTACACACCACAAGCGTTCAAACGTAACTGAGCACTCCGACACTGTAACAATGCGTAGGGAGGCTTGTTTATTTTACCCAATAGATGCAGATGTGCGTGGTGATCATGCTTTGATCACGTATCTATCTTTGTTTGAATTACTTTGTTGGATGGATATAGTTTAGTGTTTATACAGGCAATAACATTGGTTTTAGTAACATCGGTCATTGGAAATCCTCCTCTAGTGTAAACAATTTGAAAAACTTTATGGAAATGATGTAAACAATCAATATTATTTCAAGGAATATTATTTTGNAGGCAGTGTTTGTCCCTACCGAACTACTACTAGCGCTGCTAGTGAGTGATTTTTCGTACTTCAGGAAAAAGGTTCATTCAAAAACCTTCTTTTAAATTCGATCTAGTACTCGGATCTTTCTCTTTCTCAAATAGTTATTTTCGGCAGATTATAATGTAACTTGATATTTTTAATAGCAGTGGTAGTTTTTTTCATTCAATTAAATATTTGAACATTAATACTAGTTGCTTTGTAGATTATTATCTGGTTAAAATTTATGGTGGAAGTAATGATAGATCACTAGTTCACTATGTTCAATACTATAATCAGATGAAACAAAAACATAACTAATCGATCTCCCGAGTTTTATTGTGCCTGTCGTTTAAATGTCGCCAACAAGGTAATCACATAGCACGCATTTCTCTCAGGCATTTCTCTTTTATTTTTTATCAAAATTGAAAGGAAACGATATTGTAAACTCCAAAAATTAAGTTTTGAAATCCACTCCAATTATAATGATGAATTATATGTATTTCTCTCATCATTATGCATATGATGAATATGTATTATCCGTTTTTTTCAAATAAAACTGTTCATCTACGGTTATTCATGATCAGTTATCAGGCCAGGAATCTTGTATATATTTGAATTACACAGTATTGTTATCTAGTTCATACATTCGTTTTTACAGATTTCTCACTAAGAGGTTAATGTGGAATACCCTCTGTGAGTATACCTATGCTCACGATGAACTTTGCCTTCTCAGCGTGCACAATGCTAGATGGGTTAGACGATATGTAGTACTAGTATACAGTGTGTAAAAGTCAAATGGAATAAATTCATCATTTCGGTTACCTACTGTACACATTTTAAAAATCCCGAAACACGTCAAATGTAAATTATAAATTGACATTCTTCAATTAAATGAAATGAATAAAGGCACTTTTGTCTAAATACCACTAGAAAAATTTCATTTATACGATCGGTTTCGGGTTTGATCCCATTATCAAGTATAAAACTGAAATCTGAATTTTGAAATATCGATTTCATTAGAATTTCCAGGTATGCTGCAAGGACAGGCACGTGAGAGACATGATGCCAATTTACAATACCACCATGAAAATTCTAGGGGTTGTTAAACTCATGAATTCAAGAGAGGAGACCTACGTAAATCAAGTTGCTCGTTTAGGGGTATATGTTTCAGGTTTTTACTTGATTTGTTAATTTCCATGGCCTCCACCAGATTAATTTTTCTCCCTTTATTACATATATGTAGGATTTTGAAGTTATCTTCATTTATCTTGTGGTTTGATTCTCGAAGATGTTCGTACATTGCAGATTTTTTGTCCAAACAGACGTGTTCACGCAGTCTTATTTCAAAATTTCTACCGGTTTGGCATGTATATACTGCAGGGCGAATGCTCTGCAATATATACAGAATGAAAAAATCAGGTATATATAGAATAGAGTGTGGCGAATGCTCTGCAGTATATACAGGCCAAACCGGTAGAAATTTTGAAATAAGACTGCGTCTTCCATGAGCTCCTGAGTAGGTATCATTTTATAGGGATGCATTTTATTTCCTTTCAATATGTTTACTATCGATCAATGGCTAACATTGAATGTAGTGGATGTCTGTCTACTCAATGTATGTGGGTTTTCCTCAAACTCAAGCATCACATCTAATTTGACTTTATCACTCATTGCATTGGCAGCTCCTTTTTTTATCAGCCCCACATGACCAAAACTGTTATTTTATGCATTTCCATTAATCTAACCATTTGTCAGACTTAAAGTTAACGAACTTCAAATTTAAAATAATGTACGATAATAAAATACAAAACAAGTTGCCAACGTCATTATTTACAGTTTTTTAAAGGATACCATCTAGAAAGAACATTGCTATGGTTTTTGCTTACTTTCTTATTATTAATACCTCAACATGAATTAAGTTTTGAGTATATTGCAATAAGTTTTGAGTGTATTTTATCGAATTTCGGTAGCCATACGATTTTATTTTATTATATCTTAATTGTTGCAATGAAGTTGAAAGCTATAACATTTATGAATAGAGAATGAAGAGACCTTTCAAATGATATACCACAAACCTATACTTCCCATTTAAAAAATTAGGGGAGTACCTGTCATTCGACGGGTGTTGAAGATATGGGTAGCATTTTTCCGTTGAAGTATGTCAAATTATAATTTTAATTCGACGTATTTCGGGATTTCGTTAAAATATGTACCGTAACCGAAATAATGAATTTAAACTAATCAACACAGTTTATTGTATGATTTTCACTATAAAAGGGTTTTACAAAAACCGCGACACGTGTTTCGCTTTACAATAGCTTCCTCAAGCATAAACTAATTTATGCTTGAGTTTATGCAAGCATAAACTAGTTTATGCTTGAGGAAACTATTGTATAGCGAAAACTCACTCACGTTAACTAACCGGCTACCGTCCTTCCAATTAACAATGACAAAGAACCTATCCTTTTTTATAAACCATTCACAAGAAATTTCAGGGGTTACTTTAGGAATTATTGATTTGTGGTCAACAGTGGAAGTGGAACCATGGGGTAAACCAAATAAATTTCTGGCGAAGTGTCTTTTTGGTAGTACAAAACCTCAGGTTAATTTCAATATTGTAACTTTTTCAGTGCTTGTGAAAAAAAAATTATGTACAGACCCCCTTTAAGGGGCTGTATCTTAGCAAGGGATGCTTCAATGAAATTACTATATATGAAAGATACTATCTTAAGGAGGAATCATTTCCTTAAATGTTTCACACTTATTTAGTTACACCCTGTATATTGGTCATATATTGGTGTTTTGGCGAAGTCCTTCATGGATGGTATAATCAAGACGTTTCAGCAGAATCGCACTTGCCATGTTCATGTTCTCTGCTTGGTAGCTATACAGATGGAGCACCCCATACCACACGGTCTCTGTAAACCAAACCATTAACTTTTTCAGAAATTTTTCAATTTCCTTACATGCATATTGATTAGGAATGCAGCAGGAAATTAATTTGTAGTCTACAAGGTGACTCAAACAGTGTGATATATCATCAAAGTTTTGTTTTTTTTAAAGTTCGTTACACTCTTGAATAGGTCAAGAAAAAATAATATGGATAATAATATGAATAAGGCACTGCGAACCTAACTATAACTGTTCTCGAGGTATAATTGGCGACTAAATAACATCAACAACTGAACGTAGACACTGTGCCAAAAGATTCGGGAATGGTCACCATTGGACGTAAGCCATACAGAAATTGGTGCTGGGAGCTTCAGGAGAGACCTTCATGTATAATGAACCAGTAGCGTCGCTGACGCTGTATCAGGAAGCAGGAGTTGCGTACAATTAAACTTGATCGAGGTGTAGTAGTAGTGCCTTAACGGTTCAGGGACATTCCCCACTATGGAGGTGCTAGTATAGTTGCAACAGGGTGAAAAAAGTAAGTATCAACCCCAAGTTAGTATGTTGTCAGGGTATTCAGAAGAGCAAGTGGGCTTTTTGAAACTTGCATTTATGAACCGTGACCAACGCATTGAGCCAAGTATGGAAAACCAGTAATTGCGAAATCATCCCTTCGAATTCTGACCAAGTCTAAAAGAGGTTTTGGGACATTGATTTCGATAAAACCCGTTTCTCAATATTATACAGAATATTCAACAATCATTGTCACTTTTTTATAATTTCGGACAGAGATTACTTTGTTATTTCAAATAGAAAACCCTGTATTTTTTTGGTATGAACAATGTAAAATTCAATTATCTTTAATTTCAATTTGGGGTTCCCTATACCTTACCTAAATAGTTTTTCAGATATGGGCTTTTTCAAATAGTGGTTCTTATGTCTGGCAGTGAGTATGGCAGTGTTCCAAGTAAGTGAAATTTTACTTCTTCCATTAATTATATTGTGTAGAAATCCTGAGAATGATATCTGATTGGATCCCGTCACGAATATTTGGAATACAAACGGAATAGAATAAAGTGTTTCTCGTATAATTCAGCGTTCATATAAAAGTATTTGTTTCGAAAGTATTTTTCTGTCGTGTGATTCAATGTTTATATGAAAATAGCTGTTTCGAAAGAGCTTTTTCTACCAGTTCGTGTCTGAAAGTTCCTAAGTTCCTTTTTTGCATGATCTACATATCTTTGTATAGAGTTAATTTTTGTTCTCTCTAAGAAAGACTGCTTAACATTCAATAACATTTGAGGCGTCACTCTTCGAAAAGCAGCCCTTGTTCTCTCTTTCACATTTTCCAGTGTGGTTGTGTCGTAAACCTCATTTCAAGTTTTCCCACAGGGAAAAATCGAGGCAAGTCGAATCTGGTGATCTCGCTGGCCAATGGGAGCTTCATCCAATTGTAACCACATCCATGGGATAGAAAAAATATGAAGGGATTAGATTCAATCTGTGACCTAGACTGCCTAAATCTAGTATGTAGGGATATTTTTGATTTTGGTTGTGTCCTTTCATAAGTAGAAAAAATTGGAGACACGATACCTGAAGTCTGAGCTAAACCTTCAACTTTGTGAACAGGTTCCGTGAGAGGCCATTTACTTTTATTTGTACCATATTCTTGAACTCCTGTCGAGACAGGTCGTTGAAGAAGTGTACCTCCGCTTTTATTTCTACTTGAGACTACAGTTTCTGGGGCGATATTCAATACGAACTGAAAAAGTGATTATAAATCAGTTGTGAGGCGAAAATAAGTTGCTTCAAAAAATTATCTCACCTTATAGAATAGAGAAATTGCCAGATTCTTTCTGTATTCTGGAGATGCATCACCTACAACATGATCTGGTTGGAGTTCCTGATTCAGTGACTTATATGCTCTACGTAATAAATTGTTGTCAAATAGTATCTGTCCTTTGATGAGATTTTCTGTATTGACCGCATGAATAAATTGGGCGTTTATCCCTCCATATACTATACGCGCTGATTTTACCGTGTTGTTGTTAGTCAGCTCTAACAGAAATCCAGCGTTCACCATAGCATGAGCGTTTTGAGCCCTTGGCATGATCTAAAATGTTTAATTACCAAATATTAGTTCGATACTATTACAGAATACACTCATACCTTATAGCTCAGATATTTAAAATTTCTGTCCGTGGGTAGGGCATTCAAAACAATACTTTTAATAACTTTTTTATTCATGTCCATTTTGACAAAGTCCTTTGGAGTAGCCAGTGTTTCATTATCATCAACATCAACTGAAATAAAATATTATCCATATCAAATATTTTGTGATACATATTCCATTTTAATTATATGCTAACAGACTATATACGTGACATCTCACCTATTACTAAGATAGCATTAAAAGTCTCCAATATCAAAAACACATCAGATGGAAAGTCGTTGTGTCTGTTCTTGATCATCAAATTCCCAGCCAAACTTCCAATCTAGAAGCAATAACCGAAATATTTATTGTATATTTCAATTTTATGGTTTGAATTTTGATTTGGTGTTTGTTTTAGGTGGGTTATTTAAAGTACTTTTTTTCAAAGGTATAAATGAAATTAAAGTTTTTCCCCACTGATATTGGTGATTTGATCAAAGACCTAAATAGCATAAAATTTTCCATTACCATTAGATAAATAGATTAGATAGATAGATTAGATGAATAGATAAGTACTATTCTGATCATTCCCATCAGTAGACAGCTGTTTTAGCCTATTGGACATGTTAAGTACCGGGCAGGCGGTCCTCGATTGAAGACAAAATGTGATGATACTGTCATCTTTATTTTCTTCAAGTTGGAAATGTTTTCCCCTACCCTTTCAACTGTCTTTCGTTACGAGGACGAGTGCTTCATAACTGAAGGTGTTTTTTTAGTGCCGACATAAAGATCAATGACCTCTATGCCGCTCTGGCCTTGTGTACCCCTTCCTGACTGGGGTATTTGATGAACAAACTGTTCATTTTACCAGACGTCGTGGGGCCTTCACTCAACCGAGCGACGGAGCCTTCTGTATCGGCAGGGGTTATCTATAGAATAATCTACAGCTTCCCTAACTAATGGGTTATCATGGTCTGGAGGCTCTAATAATCCCCCTCAGTTTTTCCTCTGAAGCTGGACGGATCACGTCGTCATAATTCTCCCTAAAAATGCGCCGAAACCGGTTTTCCAGCCAGATATCACGGTCAATATCATCATCCGGATCAACGTTAAGTCGAAACTGACTCTGCATTGTGTCTGCAAAGGCCAACGCCTTCTCGGCGGGGGAGTAGCAGATGCCGCGCTGTCCGTGAAGAGGGGAGGGAGCGGTTTTCCTCTTTTCGAGCTTGCGAATGACTCACCAGATCTCATCAACCCCAGGTTCGAGTGATTCCTTGACCTGATTGGCCATCCTGCTAGCTGCAGCCTTGTTTCCAGGGTAGAGAATCTGCTGATAAACTCGTCTGAGTCGATTTCTCTCCCGTATAAGGTTCTTTATCCTGGTAGGAAACTCATTGTTGTGGCTGCGCGGAAAGCGTTGTTCACAGACAATTCGAAATCCGCCACCGCCGCGTTGAGACCGTTGCAAGTTGAGCGCCTCATGGTCTGTGCGTGTCTCCACTAGGTGAGCCTTGAAGGCTTCCCAATCCGTGGATGTTCTCATGCGATAATCCTGGAGAGGGGGATCATCGCCCAGCATTAGGATGACTGGATTACGATCTGAGTCAAGTTCCGACAAAGTGTACACTTCGCAGGATATGGAAACGTTCCTGAGCAGTGCGATGTCAACTAGGCCAGGCCTTAAATCCCCTCCATAGTACGTGGGCTCATATGGACTCATCACTCGAAACTCATGCCTGTCAGCATGCGCATGGAGCGCTTGGCCGTTCGCATTAGTTAGTCTGCTCCACAGATTGTGCTTGGCGTTGAAGTCACCAGCAGCAATTGTGGGGATATTTGTCGACATCAGCAGTTCATCCAATGATTCTGGGAGTAGACGATTCCGCGGAGGGTTGTAAATTGAGATTAGTCTATGACGACCTCTTCTCAGTTGAAGTTCAACGCCCACGGCTTCCGTGCCATGTAACTGATCCGAGTCAATGCCGAATTGTACGTGAGGTAGACTACGTTTGACAAAAATGTCAACTCCTCTTCCAACACGTCCCACGCGTTTTCTATGGTAAAAACGGTAGTTTGAAATACCAAAAGGTTTGTTGTGCAGGTAGGTTTCCTACACAAGTGCAACATCGATGTTATGTTCTGTCATGAAGTTCTCAAAGTCATGTTTTTTTTGAAATACTATTGGCATTCTAAAATACAACCTTAAGAGAGCTAGGCAATGTAGGTTGTCCAACCATTAACAAACTCCAGTTAGCACGTCGGTGTTCACCGTTAACATTTTTTCAAGTACGGGAAACTGAATGAAGAGTTTCTTTATCTGGTCTAGGGCGGAGCAGATGTCATTAACCTTCGACGGACGAGGACTCGAGTGAGCCGCGGTCGGCCTGGCGGAGGTGTTACCGCTCTTGGCCGCTCCTGCGTAGCTCATTTCCGGGCGTGTGCGTGTGATCTGAAGTACCGAACGTTTCGTCTGATACTGTGGCAGACATCATTAGTAGATGTGCATTGACTGCAAGAACGAAGTCAGTTGTTGAAACTTTCAGAACGAAGTCAGTTGTTGAAACTTTCAGCAATCAGTTGATAATAATTCAAAAGAACCTTTTTTTATCCAAAATGGAATTTCAATATATTCTGTATTTAGAATTTAGTTCTGTACACATTCACTGCATCTACTTTCTAGGATTCATCGCCAATAGGTATACAATTTTATATTTGAATCAAGCACAAAGATGTACTTTTTTAATGAGTTTTACCATATTTCAATATATTTTGTTGATAGTTAATTTAAAATGGATTTCCACCAAAGGGACAAACCACGACAAAACAAAAACTTGTCAAAATGAAAAACTTTGTGTCGCAGGCGACTGTCAACAAAGAAATGTCCCATCGGCAGGTGGAAAGATCAAAAGGCTTCGGTGTTTTGTCTGTGTTCCTAATTCCTGTCATTATTTATCAAATCTGCCATCCGTTCCATAATCTATTCGTCTTCTCAACAATGCTCTCAGCTAGTGTCTTGTTTTTTCACTTTTGCTCCTTTCGCTCAAAAGATTCGATTAAAAAAATCAAAGTCTATTACAAACATAGTCTAAGTTTCGTGTTAGGAATCACACGTTAAAAGGTAAGACCTCGTTAGTCCTTTTCTTGCACAAGTTTCTCAACTTCTGATAGATGTCGTTCGTATGGGGACGACAGCTGATTAACGAAAAAACAGATTTTCTTTTAAACAGACAAGACATAATGAAAACTGTTCATATAGTGGAAACGATAGAAAACAATTTCACAACGAAACATGCAACTCAGACAATTTTTGTCTGTCTAGTGGAATTCGAGTTTGTTTTCGAAACCAATACAAGTTTCTTGTGTCAGTTTATGAAAACGAAACTAATCGCAAGCGAGTCCGTTTAATGTAAATCCGCCTTTATATATTCTTTTCTTCTGGATAATCAAAAGTTATAGTAACAGTAATTTTCGAAAAAATATATACCCAAACTTCGTAGGGATATCAACGGAGCCCAATATAGTCCTGTCAAATCGAGATAATTACATTGTGGGTGGAGAATAGGAAATAATAAATGAAAATTACTCACATTTCTCACTGGAACACTTGCTATCAGATCGATGTGGTCTCTCAGTACCGATAAATATGAGAACTGTGTTTTCTGACTTGAAATTTCTTGAAAAATATCCATTGCTTTCGTTAAAGAAATATTTCCTCCAAGTGTTAAAGTGTTGTTATCCACAGAATAATTGATAAGCTCAACAACACCGGTTACATCAATGTAGGTGTTGGGAAGGGGATCGTTTTTGTACACACCTGAAATTAACATTGGTTTTACATTTTTTTTGAGTTGATTAAAAATAATTTTAAATAGACCATATCCTGAATATTGTAAATAGCACGTCAATGAGCTGATTAAATGTTAGAGCAAGTTAATGAAATATTGGCTAAAATTGTCGAAAGATATATAGGACAAACAAAAAACAATTTAAAAACCTGCATAGCTTTTCATAAAAGTGAAGAATGGAAGAGAAAGAGTTTTTGAAATCGCTTAGGTAGTTTTCGAATCTATTTATTACAGGCAAACATACATAAAAACAAATAATATTCTCGCTTTATAATTTGAATGAGTTAGTCACATACCACCTCCCAAAAATGAAAAAGCTTGCTGATATTTTTTTTTAATTCTTTCAAGTTTTCATAGGCTCATAACAGTTATGGAAATTAATGATTTTATCGCAGAAACAGTTTGCCTTATCTACAAATGCACTGCTTCTCGGAAAGGTAGATTTAAACACACTTGTCTTTAAAAACATCAGCAATGATGTATCTACTGGCAAACTCAAGAATTCCTGAAAACAGAAAATGCAGTAACGCCATACAATATCTTGTTTCCATAATGCACACAACAAAAATATATATTTTGAAATCATCGAAAACGCTTCAGTTCTTAATATTTATATTGAAACTAGATCATCGCGAACTCACTGAAAATCTCTAGAAGCCCGGAGGATTTTTAGACAGATTCTTCATTTAAAAGCCGCTTTCCCCACCGATGAAAAGGTGTATATTATATAAAATTTTTTTCTTCTTATCATCTAATCTTTGCAACCTAATATGTCTCTATGACGCTCGAGTAAATCCCCATTTTGCATCGTGGGCTCTCCTACTAATGAAAGAACATTTGAATTTGAAATTCTAGATTGGCTCATCTATAATGTCACGAGAATTCTACAACAGATGGGAGAAGTCTCTCTTAAGGAAATTAAGATACGATAATTCATTAAAAAATAATATAAAAAAAATTAAACTCGATGATAGGTGACTTTTTCAGTGAAATATTTTTCATCTTTTATGAGTTAGCTCCAGAAATTCGCTTGGAACATACCTCTTCATTTTTGTTTTATGATTTTGCGACTTTACATTCAATAGCGTTCCAATTATATTTGAAGATAGAATTATAAATGTGGTTTGTGATATAAACACGTTTTTGAATTAGTTTGTTTCAGAACTACCTATAGGCAGAAGTTTATGTGCTTTCAGTTGGCAAACAATACTTACCTCTTGCTGTATTACCGGCCACAAGCCTATAATTTGAGTTTTCAGGCATCCTCATGATTTGCAAAAGATCTTTCAGGTTATGAACTTTCAGCCATTTTCTATCTCCAAGTTCAATAGAGAGATTTTCCAATTTCGCTTTCTGGCAAACTTTATCACATTTTTTGGAGCATTCACTCTTTTGACAAGGTTTCAGCTCCTCAATATCGCTAATAGTATCTGAAAATTGAAAAAAATATATAAATTTTTACTTGATAGGTAGGACTGGAATCTCTGGCGCGAAAAATGTTTTGATGTTATGAGTTTCTGTAGCTACATATCTTAATGAATATTTATTCTACTGCGTCGTGAAATGTACTGATCGATAGAGAATTGTGTGCTCTATACATTAATGCCATTGATTTTTCTTACAAATTTTAATTTTTTGCATCTTTTCAGCTTATTACTGAAATACCGCTGAAACTTCTCGAAAAATCAACCATGCATTTGGCAATGACAGTGTTAATGAATGTACTGTTCGATGTTGCTTTGCCAAATTTAGTTCTAGAAGTGGTCGACCTACAGTAATCCACGTCGAGGATTTGAGGACCCTGGTGGAGACTGATCCATCACAAACGGTGCATGGAATGGCGTAAGAATTGGGCTCCAGCTCTCACGCGGTTTTTGATGGTTGTAAATGTAATGGAAAGGTTATAGAGCTCGAAAAGTGGGTTCTCCACGATTGGAACGATCGACAGAACTTGTCACGTTTCGGAGTCTGCTCTTCTTAGCTTTTGCGCAACCAAAACGATCGTCACGTGTGATGAAAAGTGGATCCTCTATGCCAACAGGAGAAGTTTCGGACAGTGGTTGGACACCAATGAGCCACCCAGGCACTACCCAAAAGCGAAAACTCACCATAATAAGACCATGGTGGTCAGCGGCTGGTTTGATTCACTAAAACTTTCTGCATATGGGCTAAACCATCGCAGCGGAGTTCTATTGTGAGGAAATCTATGGAACTGGTCAACAGAAGGGGTGCGATCCTGCTTCATGACAACCCTCGTCTGCACGTTTTACAAATCACCGTCTGAAAATTGAACGAATTGAGCGTCGAAGTTCTGTCTCACCCACCATATTTCCAAGACCTCTCGCCAATCGACTACTATCTTTTCAAGCACTTCGATAACTTTCTCGGTAGAACCGGCCGAGACGGCCTTCGTCGGCTTCATCGAATACCGTGCATCGCCCTATAACTTTGTCTTCGACTGGAATAATGCAATGCAGTACTGCAACAATTTGGTGTATAGGTGCGATAATAAGCTGATAGTTATCATGAATTATATGTGGAATAGTCACAGTGAGTTATAAGAGAAGAAAACGAATTAACAAGTTTACCAGTTCTTTGTATACCTTCCCATAAGTGGGAAGATATACATCGGACCCATCAAAAGATCCATGTGAACAAGGCTGCAGCAGAATAAAAAAAACTGCAAACTAGGCCAAATGGACAAGGCGGCTGTGGCGGAATACGCACCCACTGAAGGAAAACACGAAACCCATTGCCTCCAACCAGGGATACCATAGCCGACTGGTATATGAGGCAATAGAGATCCAGAAACACACGGTTAATGTCAACAGAAAAAAAAAGTTCTGAACCTCAATCGAATATTGAATCCTATTCTAAGAAGTTACAATGAAAAACAGCATGACGGCAAGTACTTATGCAGTTGACCTTGTGATCTCCCCAAGGTCCACGTCGGGAAGGGTAGCCTGTAATATCCTCCAAAGCACGATGGACGTGGTTCACAGTTGGTGCCTGAAGGAGCAGATGTCTGTCAACCCCAGCAAAACTGTGATAATTTCCTTCACCAGAAGCAAATAATTGGACGCCACTTTTCCTCAATGGTGAGGTCGTTCCATTTGGGACGGAGGTGAAATAGCTTAGCATTGTTCTTGATAAAAAACTCACTTGGAACGCTCACTTGGAAAAAGTTTTACACAAAGCCAGACTGTCCCTATGGACATGCCGAAGGATTGGTAGTAAATATTGTGGTTTAGGTCCCAAACAAATCCATTGGATTTATGTGATGATTGTCAGACCAATGATCACTTAGGGTGCAATACAGTGAGTTATAAGAGAAGAAAACGAATTAACAAGTTTACCAGTTCTTTGTATACCTTCCCATAAGTGGGAAGATATACATCGGACCCATCAAAATATCCATGGGAACAAGGCTGCAGCAGAATAAAAAAAACTGCAAACTAGGCCAAACGGACAAGGCGGCTGTGGCGAAATACGCACCCACTGAAGGAAAACACGAAACCCATTGCCTCTAACCAGGGATACCAGGGATACTATTGCCTCATGTACCAGCCGACTGGTACATGAGGCAATAGAGATCCACAAACACACGGTTAATGTCTACAGAAAAAAAAGTTCTGAACCTCAATCGAATATTGAATCCTATTCTATGAAGTTAGAATGAAAAACAGCATGACGGCAAGTAGAAAAGGGTCGACGAATGTTATTGACCTGTACCTAATTCAGGTACAGGTCACTCCTGATGGTTGGTCTGCTTGATGCCCTCAACAGAAGAAAAGTAGATCTGCAAACTTATGCAGATGACCTTGTGAACTTCCCAAGGTCCACGTCGGGAAGGGTAGCCTGTAATATCCTTCAAAGCACGATGGACGTTGTTCACAGTTGGTGCCTGAAGGAGCAGATGTTTGTCAACCCCAGCAAAACTGTGATAATTTCCTTCACCAGAAGCAAATAATTGGACGCCACTTTTCCTCAATGGTGAGGTCGTTCCATTTGGAACGGAGGTGAAAAAGCTTAGCATTGTTCTTGATAAAAAACTCATTTGGAACGCTCACTTGGAAAAAGTTTTACACAAAGCCAGACTGTCCCTATGGACATGTCGAAGGATTGGTAGTAAAAATTGGGGTTTAGGTCCCAAACAAATCCATTGGATTTATGTGATGATTGTCAGACCAATGATCACTTAGGGTGCAATTGCCTGGTGGCTGAAGGCTTTACAGAAAACGGCCCAGGCGAAGCTCTCTGGCTTACAGAGACAGGCTTGTCTGGCCATCATTGGTCCCATCAGTACCACACCTTAGCAGCCATGGAGATCCTTCTAGATCTACTTTTTCTCCACATTTTTTTAGGAGTGAGGCTAGATGGACTGCATATTAACTTTTTCACATTGCCAATTGCACAAATCAATTTAATGGAGAGTGCTACAAACTGTTGGTTGACACTGGAAGTCACAGCATTCTGGAAATGACCTCTGACTTTATGCCTCCAACTATCAACTACGAACTGTCTCATAAAGTACTGTTCCCGAGTAGAGAGGACTAGATCCTCCGGGAGAAGGAAATATTAAGAGCAGATAGTTGTTGGTTCACAGATGGATCAAAAACACCTTCCGTTTCTGGTGCAGGTGTTTTTAATCGCAGACCCAAGACAGAGATATCAACCTGCCTAGAAACCTATGCGACTGTATTTCAGGCGTAAATCTACGCTGTTGAATTGTGTGCGGAGAGATTGGATGAATCCAACCTCACTCACAAGTCAATAAAAATATTCTCGGACAGTCAAGCGGCGTTGGAAGGTCTTGGCTCCTACCGAGCAACGTCTAAATTGGTAGCAAATTGCCAAAAAACGACATCAAATTGCCAAAAACGACTCTCCTCGATAGGAAGACTTAACAGATTGTCTCTGGTCTGGATTCCTGGCCATACTGGCCATACTGGCCTGGAAGGCAATGAGGCTGCTGACTTTCTTGCAAAGGAGGGTGCTGCAAGCATCTTCATCAGACCAGAACCTGTCATTGGCATCGCTTTAGGCTTTGCCAAACAAAGATTGAAAACCTGGATGACAAGAAGATTCATGGACTCCTGGCAGAATCTTCCAGGATTGGCTCACTCCAAGGCGTTTTTTCATTCTTCGAAACTTGATACCAAATAGTTGTTGGAGTACAGTAGGGATGCACTACGATGTCTAACAAGGCCTTCTTACATGGCACTGTCATTTGAATCATCATAAGCAGAGACTCAGACTTCGGAAGACAGTGTGTGTCGCCTCTGTTTGGAAAATTATGAAACAGCAGAGCACAGACTTTGTGCCTGCCCCGCTGGGGAATGAATCAGGTTCTTAGAGTTCGGTAGAGCCGTACTCTTACCATCTGACCTGAAAGATCACTCACCATACAAACTAATCGTCTTCGTTAAGAAGCTGGGTTCATTTGGGCGAGTGTGAATAGGTGTGAGCCACAATGAATCCTTGCGGGTTGCGGTGGAGGGTCGAATAGACCCACTCACTTTGGACCTAACCTAACAGGTATTGTCACAACAGATAACTATAGGCAACATAAATTAACATCACGCAATTTTCAATCAAGGTACAGGTACATCAAACTACCTGAGTCAAAATGAGTTCGCTTCACGTAGCCGTAAATCCAGTTACTGTATATTACTCAGGAAGCATACATCTCTTAAGAAACTAGACACTCGCGCCAGCGAAACGTCAGGAAGAAATTCCAAAAATCAACGGCCTTCAAACCCGAATAATAGTGACACTAGGAAACATGGATTCTGCATTCGCTTCCTACTGCGAATTTGGAGATCAACTTGCTTGAAGAAAAATCTAGAAATCATCTGCTGATTTTATAATGAAATCAAAATAGAATTTCTCCAGAAATATTAGAAAATACAAAACGGTATTATAATGTTCTACACATTTTGCTGAAATGATTACATAGAAATTTAAATGAAATTTTTGTAGCGTTATGAAATAGAACAAAATATGATATTTTGTAAAATACGATATTACTCACCAGCATCGGATGCAAGTTTCTTGAAAGCAGTCATTATAGGTCTGTAACCGGTGCAACGGCATAAATTTCCTCCAAACGAGTTTTCAATTTCCCACATGGTTTTCGGACCTGATTCATGCAACGCGAACATATTCATAACCATACCAGTTGAACAAAATCCACACTGGGTTCCATCGTTATCTGCCAAAAGTTTTTGTATGGGGTGGAAACCTATGAGTGGATTACCTATTCCTTCATTTGTATGAATTTTCCAACCATGGCAGGAGAGAATAGACACGAGACACTGGAAAAAGTAGAAAATGTATTACATGGTAAGTGGCCAATAATAATAAAAAAATAATTTAGAAATGTATGAGAATTGAGGGCCGGCCAATTCAAAGAGACAATATTTGAAAGTGACTTTCAATATTACTGTTAATTTCTTTCCCGTTGAATTTGCTTTTCAGTAACTAATAATCTAAATTTGGATTATTTAATAACGAATATTAGGTTTTTTTATTCTTATTCCTACATTATTCATGGCGGAGATTAAAACAATGAACGTTATGAACTGTGACGAAAACAGACTTGTCTCTTTTCTTGACATAAAGTCGTAGTTGTTGTTGTATTTATTCATCCTTCAGATCATTATGATATCAGACATGTCAATAATGAAAATAACAATGAAACCATAGCGTCCATGACTATTGTGTTACCAGACACTGATATGGTAGTGTCATCTGCGAACATTACGATGTAACCATGTTTGATTTATTTCGGGAGATCATTTATATAGATTGAAAACAGCAGCGGTCCTAATATTGAACTTTGTGGTACACCAAGCATGATATCTTGAATATGTGATGCAGTGTTATTCAGAGTCACAACCATTTTTCTGTCAGATGAAAATGACTTAATACATTCAAGTACAAATCCTCTGATACCAATGTTGTACAATTCACTGATCATAAGGTAATTTCTTACTGAATGAAAAGCTTTCGCTAGATCAAATAATATTGAGACTACATACTTCCCCTTATCAATGTCATTGTAAATGAACTCAAATTTACTAGCAATATCTGTTTCAACCGATCTAGCTTTTCTAAAACCATGTTGCTGATCAGATAAGATTTTGTATTCTTCAAGAAATAAAACAATTCAATTTGCAACTATTTTTTTAGTAGTCTTGATGGCACACCTAATAATGAAATTCGGCGATAGTTGTCAATATCTATTTGGAAACCTTTTTTATGTATTGGTATAACCTTTGCAGTTTTCCAGACTTCAGGAAAAACTCCCTCAAATATTGATTTATTTATAAGCTTCACTAAAATGCCCGATACTGTTGGGATGACATATTTCAGTCGTAATTTTATATAACCTTTGCAGTTTTCCAAACTTCAGGAAAAACTCCCTCAAATATTGATTTATTTATAAGCTTCACTAAAATGCCCGATACTGTTGGGATGACATATTTCAGTCGTAATTTTATGCGAGAAATGTTTGGTCTGTAAAGTTATACAAAAGGTGCTGATAAGAAGTCGAAAAACAGTGTTTCAGGTCCGAAAGTATATACCTAGGAATGATAATTTCCATATAAGTAAGTGAAATTTTATTTCGATACTCGTTCATGAATTACGTTTTGTTCCTGTGAACGATTCTGTTTGAATCATATAACGAATGTTTGGAGTACAAACTGAATAGGAAAAAGTGATTTTAGTGTAATTCGCTGTTCATATGTTTGAACGCAGTTGTTTCGAATGGGCTTTTTCTTTCAGTTTGAATCTGAAAGGAACTTCTGTGCATGATATTTTTTGAAGAGTTTATTCTGAAGGTGATTAGTTTCATTCTTTGGAAGATTCTACCATTTTTTGTAAAAAAAAATGGAGAAGTATAAAGTCAAAAACATCTTTTCCAAAACATTTTCCAATTGGATAACAATGTTATCTAACATCGGTCATTCATAACAGTACGTACTCCTATCAAAATCGTTTTCTGTGAGCTTCAGAGTTGGTATCTTTTTTGTGAATACCATTTATTTTTTAATATTTGAATATAACTGGAATCGACCATTGGCACTGCTTTTCATGTATGCGGGTTTTCCTCAAACTTAAGCATATCATTGCTTATTGTATTACTAGCTGCTTTTTTATATGCCTCACATGTACGAGTCCACAAAACTTCTGTGTTTTACTAACTGGATAAAGGCGCTAAATTATTCATGAAATTAGCGAAAAACTTTCATTTGTGTTCGTGTGTTATATTCAATGATTAGCTGTAGAACTACTTTTCTGATTTGTAGCTCAGGAAATTCAAACGACTATTACTTTGACAACTACTGTCATCCAGTTAGATAACAATTTAACAAAATCAGGATTTTTAAACTGAAGTAAGTAAAATTATTTACAGTTTTCATCTTATCAGCAAAATGGAACGCTAAGTAGTTTTCTTGATCATTGTCAAGAACCAAATTGAAAATAAGTATTGGGTGTATTATAGCACATTTCTATAACTTTATTTTTAATATTAACTCAAGCTATACGTCTGAGAACACTTCAGGAACAACTGAAGACAGGTATATAAGATATGTCATGAAATATGTCAAGAATACTGAATTCAACACATAATTTAAGTTTTTCTACACCCGTACTCTAACAATACACTTATATGACCATAATCCGTTTCATAATGATATCCATTATGATACAGATTTTTCATAACTATACAGATTATCAACCAATAGAAACCCATAATTTTTCAATCAAGAATCCTGTTCCTTTGTTTGTCCTAGATTCNGAAGAATATATTGAATGAGAGCACATTATGGATGAGGTGCAAGAAGTCGTATAATGAATGTTGGAGAAGATACTAGTGAGAGTGAATCAGAACTGTCCGACACAAACATAGTTGGACGAGTTAATTTGCTAACAATTAAATAATTTTAATATTTAACACCGTAATTATGAAATTCTGTTATTTTACTTTTTATATGAGTAGCTACTTGTAGTTTTCTCATTCATCTATTGAAAATTCATCAACTTATATAATAATAATTTCTTCTAAACCAATCATAAAACCAGTGTCAACTTTGACTGGACTATTATAGTTCTACTAAATGTTGAATTAATGTTTTAATTTTTCACTTGAATCACTGTAAGTCACTGGTACTTTATTTATCTCCATGTCAGAAGGGAATGAATCATGACAAATAAAGATACTCCTCTATTATAAGATACGGGATAATCTCATCATAGAATTTGGCAATTTTGAATACGTCTCTGATGTCGTAATCTGGAACTGCTACTTGACCTTTCTACAAGCCATATACTACAATAATGAAAATGAAATGTTTCAAAAGTCTTTCTACTCTCCAAATTTCGTATTTAAGAAAATCATTTTTTTCTAGATCATCTACTTGTTCTTTCATAGGCCTCAACTCATCCTCCGTATCACTCTTAACAACCGTGCAATTTGTTTTTCAATATCTGTATTTATTTATTTCTCGAAACAAATCTTCCGAAAAAAAAACGCGTTTCGAGTTTGATTTTCAAATAATTGAACTTGCCTCACGTGATTATTCAGTTTTATATGAGTTAAAAGTAAATTGTAGAGCAGTATAACAACTAGATCTATGAATTATTGTTAAGCACTTTGATAGTTCGGCTCGTTTTTACCTTGGAATATCACTCATGAGAGTCCGGCCCTGATATTGAGTACTTCAGTACGTGCCTTTATCAGTCTGCCAGAAAATAGCTAATTAACTGTTTTTGAGTTCTTGCATAATATACTATTGTAGGTAGTTTTTCTCGCTGAACCTACGAGGTACGTGTGGCAGATACCCGACGGAAAAACAACAATCAACCCAGCCAATGCCGCGCAGGCACCTGTGCAACATCTTCTATTTGGAAGATGTTGCACAGGTGCAATTAACTTCCTATATATGAAAAGCACAAACTGATTTCATTTGGTTGGAACGATCACTGATAAACCGGCTTCGGGGTACTTGCCCCTCGTCAGTACCGGGTAGGTCATTTCAGACGGAGTGAACTGTCTGAGTGTCACGAACAAACAAAATTAATTCCAACTTGTCATAAGCTCTATCTGCAGTTGATTTATTAGGATATTCACTGCGCCACCTGCAGATAAAGTCCGGAAACAACTCTTAGTTGGGGCAAGTACCCGAAAACCAATCTATCGGTGGTTGTCTCGACCAAATGAAATTAATTTTTGCTTTTCATGTATAGGAAATGACTTGCGACGAATCTTCCAAAAGGAGGACGTTGCAAAGGTGCCTAATAGTTTTACTTCAGCTTTCTGCGCGGCATTAACAGGATTAGTTGTTGTTTTTCCGTCGAGTATCTGTCACACGTATTTTGATAATAACTTTCAAAATTATGAAGCAAACCTCATTATTGAACGCTAATTAATAAACTACATAGTTTCAAACATACTGTATATAAGTGTCTGGCTGGATAAACGTTAACTGCACATTTGAATAATCCTCAACGAGTCATTATTAGTCAAGTATTTAGACATTATATTTGGAAATACAAAACCATACTCACTGAATTAACAACAAATATGTTTTTCTTGTTATTCACATTTTCCTCCACTGCAACTAGACATGATCCACATCCTCCTTCATAACACATTTTTTTTGTTCCAGTGAGAAAAACTTTCTCACGAAGATACTGGTTGAGGGTCATTTCGGGGCCAACATCGGTGGAATTAACTGGAAATGTTTTTGATTATACCTAGTTAACCAGAAAAAATTTTGATTGGGTTTAGATGCATTCAAGTCAATAAACTTTGTCAACATAGAAAATACATTTCACCCATTCGCTCGTTTATTTCACGTTTTTCATTGTTGAAAAGACATGTATTCCACAGAGCCAGTTATCAATTTGATCAACCAATAAAAAAAATGTTTGAAATATGTTTTTTTCGTTAATCAGCTATCGCACCCCTACGAACGACAACCCTCAGAAGTGGAACCTAACGAGGTTTCACCTTTTAACGTGTGATTCCTAACACGGGTTGGACGACAGCAAGTGAAAATCGATCGTTCAGCCTGGGGCTTGAACCACCGATGAACAAGGCGGTCAATTCGAGTGAGTGAACAAAGCACCCACGTCGAACCGACCGGCTACCGACCGTTCATGCTGTGATGAAGTTTTGGCTAACGGGACGAGGCATCTCAAATGAATAGAATGCTTCAAAAGCAGAATTGAATGCTGAATTAATTGAAAAGAAATATCGTTTTACATGCTCATGGAGAAACATGGCTTTTTAACACTGCGCCTACCACTGCACCATCTGGAGCTGAATACCATAGAAAACTAGTAACGAATGGAGTAGCAGTCCGTAAGATCTTATTCAAATTATCCGATGTGCGGAGGCTAACAGAAGAAAAATTTCAAGGAGTGACAACTCAAAAACGGCAAAACATTCGCAAATACGTGGAGAAGATTGCAGAAGAATATATTGAATGAGAGCACATTATGGATGAGGTGCAAGAAGTCGTATAATGAATGTTGGAGAAGATACTAGTGAGAGTGAATCAGAACTGTCCGACACAAACATAGTTGGACGAGTTAATTTGCTAACAATTAAATAATTTTAATGTTTAACACCGTAATTATGAAATTATGTTATTTTAACTTTTTATATGAGTAGCTACTTGTAGTTTTCTCATTCATCTATTGATAATTCATCAACTTATATAATCATAATTTCTTCTAAACCAATCATAAAACCAGTGTCAACTTCGACTGGACTATTATAGTTCTACTAAATGTTGAATAAATGTTTTAATTTTTCACTTGAATCACTGTAAGTCACTATCTCTTAAACTTTCTAGTTAAAAATACGAATCGAATGACACCTTGGTCGTAATTTTTGGACCCGTCTGTAAAATTTCACAAAAATAAGCAAAAAATAGTACATGTGAACCAGACTAATGCAGTCACAAGACGAATCTGGTCCGGCGATATTTTGTTAATGATCGCTTTGGTTATCACTGATATTCATGGTTTGGCTAATTTGTAAATCCCATATATGAGTTCTTTATAATTATAAAATATCCATCAAACAATTACGTTTTCACTTGCAGTATTTGTTGTTTTGCGATAAAAAATTGGGTTAGTTGTTTGGAATTGAATTTATTGACCCAGAATGCCTCCAGATTATATTTTCAAAAGTTTTTTTCTCCAGTTACAGTGATTCTACTATGGCTGAGTTCAGCTATGGATAACCCGTCGCCAATATTTTTGTTATTAAACTTGAAATGAAACGGACCTTTGAAGCGAGACTAGCTATATTTTAGCAATAAAACTGATAACCCCACTTGAAGACTGACGTTCTTGATACATTTTGTAATATATAAACATAGGGGGAAAAAGTAACAACGTAATAACGTACGGAACATATGCAATATCGATTTATAATATACAGGGTGTAACTAAATAAGTGTAAAACAATTAAGAAGGTGATTCCTCATCGAAAAAAGATAGGATCTTTCATCTAAAGAAATTTCATTGGATCATCCCTTGTTAAGATACAGCCCCTTAAAGGGGGTACATTTGTATAACAATTTTTTTCACAAGCACTAAAAAAGTTACAATATTGAAATTAACCTGACGTTTTGTACTACCAAAAAGACACTTAGCCAGTAATTTATTTGGTTTACCCCATGGTGGTAAGGGGTGGAAAACGCAACCCCTAAAATTTATTTCCGATGTAACTTTTTGTCTTATTATTTGTTTACCATTTAAAAATTTATTTCCGATAGCCTGTTTTATTCTGAACAAAAAATGTCTCTCAGGAACAACTACAGAGATACATCGTCATAAATACGAAAATACGAAACTAATCTAGTAGGTCGCTATTAGCGATAGTGACAATTGAATTGGTATGACGCTGTCAGTTTGTGAATATTCGAAATTGAATTAATACTAATTGTGTGTTGTTGTTCTGTTCTTAATTTGTTACTTTAATAATTCACTTGTTATTAAAATGGCATACACAAATGAGGAAATGACTGATATGCATTACGTTTACGGTCTGTCGCAGGGGAATGGGTTAGAAGCTTCTAGAAGATATTGTCAAAAGCCAAATTGTCAAAAATATTAATTCCCGAAAATATTGAATTTTCCAAATTTATAGCCTCAGTGCACCGCACTGTATGGGTCGATCTAGTAAAAGTTCATTTACCTAAATGAAAGTATGATATTCGGCAATTAGAGATAATGCAATAATGCAATAATGCTGATTGGCAATATTAGACTTCGACCTAAAATCGGGAACAAGAATGTGTGGGTATTGATCATTGGGCTGCCACCTTCTAGAGAGAAAACATCCATCACCCCTGAAAATGTACCTTCGGTAAGTGTATAATTTTTTTATTTGTATTAGTGGCTGTTGAACCATATTTTTTATAAAGCGTAACATTGTTGAGGGTTATGTTGTAACTTTATTTTAATAAACTCCAACATTTTTTATCTATGATTATTATTTTTATATAAATCCTACCATCTGAGTTAACCTCCTACTCGCGAGCCGTTTGAGCCGCGACAATATGCTGAAATGTATCCTCAACGGCAGCATCCTTCACGTAGAATATTTGCTCGACGTCCTCAACGATTACGAGAATATGGTTCATTCGACAAAATAACGCAGGATTGTGGTCGCCATCGAGAAGTACGAACACCACAGCTTAAGCAAGCAGTACTAAATTTGATTGAAGAACAAACTTTAAGGGGATGCTCCAATGAAGTTTCTTTATATGAAAGATCCTATCTTTTTTTCGATGAGGAATCACCACCTTAAATGTTTTACACTTACTCAGTTACACCCTGTATAAAGTATGCAAATTATTCTGGGCTGAAAAAAACCTTGAAGGTGAAACAACATGAGATTTATAGTTATAGACAGTGGCGGCGCAAGACCTAAATTTGATGATGCAAGAAAAAGGGTTTATTAAATAAAAAAACCATTTGAAATTAAACAAATCGAAAAGTAATAAAATACATTATGTCTAGGTGGCCGTATCCAAACCCCAGTGGAAGCCACTGACACTGCTTCCTTCAAAATTAGCCTAAACACGTCACGTCTGCTGTAAGTTACCAAGGAGTTGGTCCTTTGCAAACTGTTCTGGTTGCAGTTAAGTGCAGTTGTAATCGAGCTGGTTGCTTTTAAACGGCTGCCTGGAGCGATTTTCATGAAACATATGTAAGTTCTATCCCGACAAAATTAGCTGCTATTGGGATCTTCTGATCACAAACTCATTTCAGTATTGAGTGAATTACCGATAAATGTTGGGGAATAATCTAAGCCGCGCAAAGTTTGGCATTAAGGATCTGCTGAGTGGGAGGATCTTCAAGACCATTTCCGAAATTACCCCTGGCTGGATGTCACGGAAATGATTCTATTGTTGGTGGTTACATATATTACATTTTCAATGAAACCAACTTCTAACGGCAAACATTGTTCAAAAAAAATTGCGAACAAGCTGTCAACTCTAAAAATCTCGCCTTTCGGTAGTGACCCAAAAATCCCTGTGCTGAAAACCGAACCAGATTTGTTAATGCTCGCAACAGCTGCAAACTTAGGAGAAATGAAAGCAAAGAACTTCACAATCAGAGAATTAGGGATTAACTGATTGCCAATCCCAATGAGTCTAGATCCTTCTGGTCGGTAGCTAAAGCTTTACAAAATCCACAATTCCACCCCTAACACAAGTGGATGGTTCAATTGCAACAACAGCCATAGGAAAAGCAAACCTATTAGCTGAACAATTTGCGTCCCACTCCACAGTCGATTTTTTGAGAGAGGCACCCCCCACTATTCCCACACTAGAATCCACAATGTCGAAAATTACTTTTCGACAACGTCTAGTCAGGCGAATTTTGAAACAGCTAAATATCAGCATGGCGTCTGGTCCTGTGAAGTGCCCGTCATCGTACTTGAAAAGTGAGCAAATGAACTCGCACCAGTGCTTTTGAGATTTTTCAACCTATCTTAGAAGAAAGGGGTTTTTCCGTCTAGTTGAAAGATTGCTCGCGTTCAGCCTATTCCCAAAAAAGGCAAGAAAAATCGTCCAAATAACTATAGACCAGTAGCTTTGCTATCAGTGATATCAAAAATCATGAAGAAAGTCGTAAACCACCATACCCTTGAATATCTGGAATGATTTAACATTAAAAATATACTATGAATTAATCAGAGTCCAACCCTGAGTCTACTCAGGAGATGATCATCAACTGCACGACCTCAACTTTCCTCCATGTAACATCGAATAGAAGCTCTTGAACCTGTTAGTAAACCTAGTGGACTAGATGGTGCAGCCAACTGGCGACTCATCGTTTTCTTGCCGGATCAGGTTTGTGCGTTTGACAGAGTCCCACTCTTCACCTAAAAGTTCACTCATTAAATGAAGTAATTGACTTCCTTAGAAAGCCGGATATATTTAGTATAGTTTGACTAGGAACAAATACTCGTTGAGACCCACCTATCTACCCACTTCATCAAATAAGATCTTAAATAGAATTTCAATTCAAAACATTTTGATAAAACTTAAATTGTTGGATTTTCTTGGTACTACAGCCAATACATCTTCTGAAAGAACTATTCAAATACAATGAAGTTGCGAAAGTTGACGAAACAAAGGCTGCTTCCCCTCTGGACCTGTACGTTGAGGAGGTTGCGTTAATGGCCATGTTACGATTGCGCACGGCTGGTGTAAACCTCGAAGTAGGAATGGGTTAATTGAGGCGAGCCTATGGCAAGAAGCGCTTACTGCGCAACCTCTGCTGCAGGCAACCAGTGCTGCAATTGAACCCAGGTTTGTGTTTAATAAACCCTACAAAATACAAATAGAACAGAACACAGAGTCAGATGCTATAAATGCAATACGCATATATACAGACGGCTCAAAAATTCAAAAATCAAAGAAGGCTGAGGTTGTGGAGTGTACTCCAGATCACTAAGCCTAGGATTGAGTGGGGAATGGGAAAAAATACCAGCGTGGTCCAAACAGAACTGGCTGGTATCTCAATCGCCACAAAAGAAATAACCAGGAAAATAATTTCTGGCAAAAACATAACAATCTGCACTGACAGCAGACAAGCCCTATTAGCCTTGAACACACAATGTGTTACCTGAGGGCTAGTACTAGAGTGCCACCAAGATTTAGCCAAAGTCTCGGTAGACAATAACATTATCCTGAGTTGGGTTAAAGGGCACGACAGTAGTGAAGATAATCGCATTGCGAATCTTTAGCCAAGGAAGCGGCTGAAATAATAATACTGTTTCTATTGTTGACTAGGAGCACCAAGGAGTAATACAATTAATAATGGACAAACATGTAATTACTATTTTTCAATCAAAACTTACCTGTATGTAGGGTATCGCCCAGAGAGAATTCAATAGTCTGTAATTTCTTCATGGCTTCAAAATGTTACTGAAATGTGAATAAGTGAATTAGTAAGCTGGTTTATTCACTATAAAAATAGTTCATTGAAAAATGCGGTTAGTTAAAAAATGAAATTTCTCATTTACTAAAGTGATTTTTTTAACAAATTAGAATATTGCAAAAAATATGAGTGCATTGCTGTTAATTTTGTTAAATTTGTTGATCCAATCGCAAATAAATTAGTAATGTTAGATTCGTCAAAAAATCCTTTTTTCGGAAAATGCCTAAAAAGGAAATAAATTATTATCCATTGCACACTCGACAAAAGTAAATAAAATAATATCAAGTATTTTTCTGAGTAATATTTGATTTATGTTCTTATTTGTAATCCGATCGCAAATAAATTGGTATCAATAAATTCGTCAAAAATTCCTTTTTTCGGAAAGTGCTTGTCAAAAAATGGTCGTCATTTGAAAAATAATAGTTAGACACGAAATTTTGCAATCTTTCCTTAATTGTACCTAACATACAAGTCACTAAAACTCCGCGATTGTAATTTTCCGATATCACCCAAGGTCCTTAGATTTTACGTCCGATCATGGCCACTTAGATGCAATTTCAAAAGTGACTCTGAAGAAATTAAGTAGCCGTAACTTTCGAAAATATCATATTCTGATTCAGAATTGTCTGAATTGTCTGTTCAATTTAAAATTTTAGAACCGGAGCCATTTTCAGTTTCACCGGAAATGGCTCTGGTTCCAAATCTCATTTTCATACACCCAATAGTCTAGAAGTTATAACTTGTCTATTAGATTCGTTGACACCCGGTATTATTGAAATAGTGGCTTTGCTTGAATGGGGCTTGGAGGTTTTGGAATCGTACTACATTTCAAAATACAGATTTTAGGGGTTGAAAAAAAGTATTAACAGCCACATGAAACCCTCAGCACAGTCAGTAGTATCTTCCGATAAATTTTACTTGATGCACGAAACAAGATCCCAATTCTTCGCTGTCTTTTCGATTACATTGAAAAAAAAACTTATATAGGTATATGCTTTGTTGAAATCTATCTCACCTTTTGTTGGGTTATAACGTTATACTCTTTTTGAAGACACTTCATTAACTTTTGAAATTAGACTGAATTATTAGAAACGGAATCAAAGTGGCTTAAATCAAATTAGCGATAAAAGTATTATATCACTGATATTCTATTTGAACCTCAGTGAACTTACACATTATCTTGAAATGAACATAAATAGTACAAACGAATGATTTGTGTGGAGTTCACTATTGATAACTATGGGCCAATTTCAGTTCTCAGCAACTTTGCAAAGCTCTTGGAGGTGATTATGTACAACCGCACTTATGTCAACCAAACATTTTACTTTCGATCATCAACATGGTTTCATGAATTATAGATCCACAATCAGTAAATTGGCTGTTTTTGTTCAGTATTTATGTGAAAAACTGGACCGTAGGGGGCAGGTTGATGTGTACATAGACTCTAAAGCTTTCGATAAAATTAGTTATGCGATTCTCATTCATAAACTTTCTGGTATTTGTTTCAATGAAATCTATATTCACCTTTCGAAATCGTATTTTGATCAAAGTAAGCAGTATGTCTACTATAATGGTCTCTCTTCAAATATTTATTCTGCCACTAGTGGAGTCCCTCAATGATGTCATCTTGAACCATTACTTTCTTAACCTTTCATACATGATTTATGCAACACATTATACTGCAATATATAATTTGAAGTTATACACCTCTGTTATTGATATAGATGACTGTACTAAATTGCAACGGCAGTTGAACACTTTAAATGCTGGTGCCACAAAAACCGTCTCAATTTANCAGTTTAGTACAATAAATTTGCATACAGTGTCAATGAAACTATCTCGAATAGAACTAACACTAGCAGTGATCTAGGTGTCCATTTTGATTATCAACTTACTTTTAATCACTCTGCCTATCTCTCTTATGGTTTTATAGTCACAAAATTAGAATATAGGAAATTGCAATGATATCGAACTATCGCGAACATTTGATCTTGTATCTCTTGAAAAAAAAAGAAATCAAGTATCTGTTATTTTTTTACATTAAGTTGTTAATTGGTAGAATTGATTCTCTGGAATTACTTTCTGCAATATATTTTTTATACCAAGTTCAACATCTAGAAATAATATCACTTTTTTGTGCAAGAGAACTCAAACCAATTTATTGTTAAAATCACCAGTGAATTTGATGTGCGGCACTGCAAAACAACTGTCTACGTGATAATTTTTATTGTAGTATATGCGAGCTGAAAAAAAATGTCGTACACTTTTGTGAGTTATGGATAATCATCAATACATTTATAGTTCATTCTAATTTTATTTTTCAATGTATTCAAAAAGCACTTTATTGCGCTCAATTGTGTATACCATTCAACAAGTTATGTAAAAAAAGAACAGTTGTTTCCTTCTTTTTTCAAGAAACACAAGCACAAATGTTCGAAATAGTTCGATATCATTGCAATTTCCCATATAATAACTTACTGACAATAAAAGCGTAAGAGCGATTGATAGAGTTAACTACAAAATTAATGTGATTATTAAAAGTAAGTTGATAATCAAAATGGTTACAAATTGTGCACACAATAAAGTATTTTTGAATACGTTAGCTATGGATTTTCATCAAGTATCGGTCAATTCCATCATATATTTAAATGTTTACCTCTTTCATTTACTATTTTGTGTAGGAATCCTGTGAATAACATCTGATTCAATTCCATAACGGATGACTGGAATACAAACTGAATAAAGAAAAGTGTTTTATATGAAATTCATTTCCTCTTGTATCTGAATGAAATAGTGCTATAATTTGTATTATTAAAATGATAACTTTTGCTCTATGAATTGGAAATTGTTAGGTAATAAACGCTATTATTATTATTAATATTACTACAATCGAAGTGAATGATCCGTTATTTGATGTTTGATATTATCAGCGGTTTCAACAGACAGCAATTTGTAAAACGGTAGTGTTTCTGAGTACAAAGACCGCTTTCCCGCCAAAAATCGCGTTCACTTTTTAAGGCGTTAATATTCAATATTTTCCTAATCTGCTTCCAGCAGATTGTTATTGATTAATTAAAGAATTGGAGAGACACAATCAAAATCTGCTCTAAATAAATAAAAGAATTTCCAACAGAGCCTATGATCATGAACTAGCTGTTCAGAGATTCAGCCTCATCCCTCTTTAAACATCATCTTGAAACAGGTCACACAATGAGCTTCAAAAACATTGCTATGGAAAAACCTCTTCAGGCCAGGATAATTCGTGAATACATTGAAATTGAAAAACGCCCTAACTGCCTTAACAAGCGAAATGATTCACAGAGATTACCGTCAATTAGAAAGTCAAGAATTTTTCCGGCAGGTCGGGTACCTGTTGCAGTACCTTCACTCTATACCTCTCCAGAAAATTCAGAAATTCAACAGTTGAATTCAGGTCGCCGTTGTCGGACTAATGCTGGGCGTAGCCTACTGGCTACTTCCAGTTATATTTCACTGCAGATAGTACGTACTGGGGCCAGTTTCTCAGACGCCCACGGTCCGTAGGAACTTTTGAAGGTTATGTTACAAAAGTATGATACCCTAGATGTCCTTTGTTAGTGAAATGAACCACAGCCTTGCACCGACGGGCGTTAAAATGCCACTGCGGGTTCAGTATCATCGGTGGACGTGAGAATCCTCCTACCCGTGCCGAAAAGACTCTAAATCGAATCAGTCACATTAACAGAATCTTCAAGATATCGGGCACTCTCGTGTCGAAGAAAGCCTTGTCATGGTAATACGGGGCTTTGCTGCGATTGATCATCTTTCCGTAATTACTCATTACACCCTTTATAGACCACGAAGTAACCAAAGTATCCGACCCTGAGCCTATAAAGAAGATAAACGTTCAAATAATCCCAAACTCTCCTTCCTGAATATCCGATAAAAGAGTCAGAGTTTCTCAGTGCTCCAACTATTGATCTCTCCAACAAACCTAGAAGGCCAGGAACCAACATACCTCCTGCCCAAGATCATCAAAAGCAGGATATTTTTTGAATTTGCTTTGCACTAAAGAGCAGGATATCTTATGAGAAGCAGAATCTGTATCAGGAGAGGAAACAAACCTTTTCTGGGCAGATAATCAAACGCATTACACCAAAACCGATTGCCTCATGTGGAAAGTTTACTGCAGTCATTAAGGTGGAAATCTTGTCCCAATATCGACTATCCGAGTTATTGAAATCGCTTCAGTATGCGTGATGGATGTTGTAGAGGACTTATATAACAAAGATATTATCCAAATGTATTGTTGGTATTGGATGTAATGTATAGTTCTGTAAAATACGTTGTAATGGTTTATATTTTATATTAATCTGAATTGAATAAATTTTGATTTTTTTAGGTACTATTCTGGAGCTGCATATTCCGGCCTGGATGGCCAGAGGTCACTTGAGAGGATCAAGAGAGTCAGTACCTTGCAGCCATGGGAGTGTATCGCTGTAAAATGTTTCCAAGCCACACATTCATGTAGCTCATCTACCCAACGAGGATAGTCGCAGAATGATCTTCAAACAGGTCCTCAATACATTGAGGTATAATATGCATATAATATATTATAAATGCATGGTATAATAATGAACTAAAAGTAGAATCAGAAAATTTAAAGAATCTAAGTAACCTGCGCAAGTCACATCCAACAAGCGATGAACTACAGACTGAATATATAAAAATGGATGTTTGTTGGTTGATTGGTTGGTTGGTTGGTAAGTGATAAACTTCTACATCGCTCAACCGATCGTGATGAAACTTGACATGTATAAGTAATTTTTCACAGAGAAGGTTTTTAGGCTATCAGTTTTTCTGTAACCCGCCACTAGATGGCGCTGTAGAACAATGTTTTGAAAGCACTGTTCTATAACGCTGCGCACGCCTAAGTTCGTTGATTCTGATTCTGTCAAAACATTGGAACAGCAACGATATAGCAACATAGTACTAGTATAATATAAATGAATGGTATAATAATGAACTAAAGGTAGAATCAGAAAATTTAAAGAATCTAAGTAACCTGCGCAAGTCACATCCAACAAGCGATGAATTACAGACTGAGTACAAAACTGCGAAAAAAATTTATAATCAAAATATTGTCATTGCAAAACAAAACTATTTCGCATGTTTGATAAACTCGTCCAATAATAAACTCGTCCAATTAAAACAATATGGTCAATAGTAAACTCAAGACTGAACAGGAAAAATCAACAAACCGATATTTCACTGAAAATTCAGGATCAATTAATAACTGACGGCATTGAAGTTGCAAACATTTTTGGCAGATTTTTTGTTGATATTGTTGAAGATCAGTTACAATCTCATTTTGGAAACAACCTATCTGCAATGTGTACAACTTCCAAGCGCCTAGTAAGCAACTCATTTGTATTTCAACCATTCTCCTCAACAGAAATAGAAGAGATTATAGCTGCAATGAAAAATAAAAAATCAACAGGCATAGATGAGGTGCCGGTATCCCTTCTGAAAAAGTGCTCCACTGATATTGCTCCCTTGTTGGCTGAGATACTAAATATCTCATTCGAATTAGGTCACTTTCCTTCTAGACTGAAACTGTCTGTAGTCTCACCTATACATAAGAAAGACGACCGGCTCTCAATGCTCAACTACAGACCCATCGTCTTACTCAGTATATTCTCAAAAGTATTAGAAAAGGGTATCTGCAAAAGAATCAATAGTTTTCTTATAAAATACTGAATATACTGAATCAAAACCAACATGGATTTAGGGAAAACTACTCAACCAAAACGGCAACAACTTCTTTCGTACAACTGATAAATAACAAAATGGATAAAAATGAGTTAATTCTCGGACTGTTTTTTGACCTCTCGCGTGCCTTCGATAACCTCAATTTTGATTTTATATTGTCAAAATTATCAGCAATAGGATTACGAGGTAATATACTTCCTACAAGAGCGAAGACTCATTGTGAGGGTGAATAATGAAATTTCAGACGAATACCTGGTTAATTGGGGGATACCTCAAGGAAGTGTGCTCGGTCCCCTGATTTTTCTATTATTCATCAATGATCTATCTGACTACATAAGTTACGGCGAAGTTTTCATGTATGCAGACGACACATCAATAATCGTATCTAGC